CCTATGGGTCGGGGTAGAGGTATTTTTAAAGGGTAGAGGCTTAAGCCTAAATTTAAAATTAGAGTCTATTTTAGACTTCCTAATTAGAAATAAAAAATTATTTTTCCTTAAGTCTTAGTACTAGAATATTAAATTAAAATATTTATAATATTTAGTTATCTATATTTACTATATTATTTTACTACTTATAATATTTATTTTACTTCTTTTATTTACCAAGTAGATATAAATAAGTACCTAATAAAACTAAGTAATATAGTTAGTACTATAAATACTCTAAAATATAAATAAAAATACTCTATATTTAATACTTTAATAGACTAAATACTAAATTTAAATCTATATATTAGCTTCCTCTTATAGAGTTTTATTTTCGTTTTTACTTTATATTATTAGTTTTTATTATTTATTATACCTTCTTTTTACTTATATTTTTCTATTCTAGAAGTCTTATAGCTTTATTCTACTATCTTTTTATATATTTAGTTATATATATAGCTATAAGCTAAAGGGGTATATTAGAATATAGCTTAGTTAGTCTATATCTATACTTATAGTAATAAAAACTCTTTATATAGCTATACCTTAATAGATTTAATTCGATTACCTTTCGCACCCATATATTCGTTCTTATTATTGATTTAACCAATCATCTTCGCTGCTGCTGCTTCCGTTTTGACAGCTTCTTAGGCGACGACAAAGAGACAAAAGGGCGAAACGACGACGGCGAGAAAGGCAGAGTGCAAAGGTCGGAGGACGAGGTTGAAGGGCAGGGCGCAGTGCCAGTCTCAGGGCAAGGCTGCTTACGGAGATTCAGGGTTCTTTTTAGCAGGGTGCGAAGCATATATAGCGTCACAGCATGGATCTGGTAACATCACCGCCCACGCAGGCCCCAACGGTGGCCTCCACTGCTCCCTATGGCCGAAGCACCACCACCACCACCACCACCACCAGTGCGATCACCGCCTTCCCTGGCTCGGACAACTATCCAGTCTTCCCTAATGGCAAATACCTGTCCAAATTCTATCTCGTCTCGGGCCAGTACTCCGGCCTAACCGACCTAGATTACCACCTCTACAATGTCTGCTATCTGCCCTACCGCCCCTTCGATGTCGGGACATCGTTTGGCATCGACAAGAGACGGGTGTCCCATACAGACTCCAATGCACCGCGCCCAACGTATTTGATTAACGACCCGCCATGCAAGCGGCAAGCGGCAATCAATGCCAACTGCCACTTCAAAAATACCAACGGCACACGTTCTCAGGCTTGGAGCCCTATACCAACGATTTTGACGTACAACAGCAATGTTACTGCGAGAAGTATCCCTTTTTTGACTCTGCTCTTGGATGTATGAAGTGTTTTGAGACACATGGTGGAATTGAGGGTACGTGAATTGCTCGCTCTCCGCGTTTGCTTCCCCTATCTACAGATAGAGCTCCAGCTAATTGGTCAAAAGGTTACCATTGGTTCCCCAAGAGCTATGTAGATGCTGCGTCGAAAGCATACTGTGGGCAGGTCCCAGCACCAGCTGAGTTCTTTGACTTTATAAAGGCGTGGGCGAAGACGGACCCCGCTGCAACTCTGCAAAGCACCACTGCATCAACTATCCTTGGTACGCAAACTGATGCCAGTCTGTACTACACATACGCTGCTGCTTCTACTACCAGTCCAAGCAGTGCTGTTCCAGCTAAGCCTCCGGGCCTAAGAAAGATACTGCTTGCTGCCCTAGCTGTAGGAGTTGCGCTTTACCGATGACCTCGACCTTCGATACTAACGCAGGCTGTTTTGCTTCAATAACCGGCGGCTACTATACATGCAATTTTTCCTAATAAACATGTCTAAAGAATACCCCGAGCTATTAGTGATCTACGATAAAAGGTTTTCAAATGCTGGTAGAAAAGATCTTCGCTAGAATAGATGTAATGTATACATACACTGTGCAATTTATCTAGCCTTTCAAATGGAACCCAAACGCCATAAAGTGTAGAAACATATACACCGTATGCAACATCAAGAAGGCCACTGGCCTAGTAGAGAGCCTGAAATAGTAGAGAAACAGCATAAAAAGTGCTAAGAAATGGTAACATCAGCTCCGCTTATAACAAACTGATTAGTCACACTCCGCCCTGGATCAACTCTTGGCCTTGCTTCTGTGTTTCGCGCTTTCGGCACTCTCAGACAATTCCTCAGTCTTTACATCCTCCATATTTGCACCATTAACAGCTAGCCGATCAGCAGCTTCGTTGCCAGCATCTTTGTTATGCCCCTTTACCCATTCAAATAACGTCTTGACCTTCAGCGATTTGCGTTCTTCGATCTTAGACAGGATAGCTTGAATGAGATCTTTGTTCTCGACTGGTTTCTGAGTCGAGGTTACCCAGTTATTCCGTTGCCAATTTATGCACCATACAGTGACGCAGTCGATCGAGTACTTGCTATCCGTAAAGATTGTGACATCGCGGTGCTTGGGCGCTATGTCAAGTGCTCGGGAGATGGCTGTTAATTCAGCCCGTTGATTGGTCTGACGGCTTCCTGCAAGGGGTTCCGAAACATTTCTGCTAGATGAGAGAGAAGAGAACAGACTGTGTCAGCAAAGCAGATATTAAATAAGAAAAAGTTAGGGAATGGCCTTGAAAATTCGTTTGTTACTACGTACCTTTCGTCATCTGGTCCAAAGTAAACGCCTACACCAGCCCTTGCTCGAGACGTTCCATTCCTTAAAGCGCTTCCATCAGTGTAAATCTTCAGCATGCCCGGCGGCCCGGAAGGCTTAGGCTGGATCTTCCTCTCCTGCTTTTGTTCAGGGGTTTTATACACTATCTTTCCAGTCGTAGGATCCAGTAGAATGTTAGGGTCAAACCCGTCCTCCGCACCAGGCGGAAGTGGTCCTGTTCCTGCAGCATATTCGTCGCCAGCATCGTCCTTTGGGTTGCTTTCCATCAATCCTGGTGCCCCCGGTAATGAATCCTTATTAGACGGTGTCTGGCCATTCCGTACAAACGCCTCGGCTGCTTCTCGAGTAGAAAACTTTCGATATCGAGGTCCTCGGAACCCTCTCACTTGGTCTTGCGCCTTCGCCCAGTCCGTGTATACGCCGGGTACTCTGCCCTTCTGGATGCCGTAAAACTTCGTACATGCGGAAGTTGAACCATCCTGGGGGGATGGAGCTCTGTTGCCTGTGAGAAAAGCATCTGCTTCTTCCCGTGATGGAAAGGATTGGACTAGGCCGGCGCATATCATTAGCACACCTTTCACCCATCTTTCCAACGTAGGCAGGACAATCAAATAAAATAAAGTAACATAAAATAAAAAAAGAATAAAAAAAAAGAACGAAAGCCACTGGAATTTCACGTACAGACTGCTCCTTTGAACCCCGTAACTTGAGCCAAACACTCATTCCAATGGTTGTATATTCCAGGCTGAAACCCGATCTTAACTGCGTAGAACTTTGGCTCCCCATTGCGTTTCCGCTTGGTGCCAGCAGCTACATTTTCACTGACTGACGACATATCTGGCTCGAACTGGTTGATAGGCAGCGTAAGGAAAGGTTTTGCGAGTTCTGAGATTGCGTCTATGGATCTTTTTATTCTCGGAGATGCTCTGGATGGCAGTCGAAGGGCTAGAGAAATGCGACAAATCGAGTTCATCAGGGTGCGGTTCGTCTGGTAGAGAGGTGTTTCTTGCGTTCTCTGGTCGTCTCGAGACGAGTTAGAGAACGTCCTGCTGCTGGTTTTATCCTTGCTATCGATGTGAGGAGGATTTCAAGGTACCCCGCTCCATGCAGACAAGAACGAGGCGTGTAGGTGGTTCGACGGCAGCGTTGAAGGGAAGTTCCATAGAACAAGCCGGTAGCCGGGGTCAAGGTAGATAACGCTGCCTCAAGGCCGCAAGTGAGCGACCTTCTGATGCTTTGTTGAAGCACAAAGCTGGCGTTGGAGCAGTTAAGGCGGAAGTCCGGAGTCGATGGTTGCTTTTAGTAGCAGCAGGCAGTGGTGGTTTAACTAACTAGCCGGCGTGCTTGGGCGGGAACGTCAGCCGCAGGGCTAAACTCTTTAACTAAACGCTTAGCCAGGGACCTGGTTTTAGCTATAGCTCCCAAGCTCAACATCCAGGGCCGGTTGCATGGTTAGGCATGTCTACTAGAGGATGTTCTTACTTCTACGGGGTACGATAGAGCAAGACTGCAGTCAGAAGCTCATATGATAGGTGATATTTGGAGCCTAAAGACTGTTTCATCATAGGTTCAAAATGGGTGATCTCGACAGTTAACTAGCAGAGTGCCAATCAATCCCGGAATGAAAAAGCTATAAAAATGTCTCGCTCAAAGCTGCTGCTCACAAGTATCCAAAAAATTTGTTGTCACTTAAATCTTCAGTAAGCCTGGTTACTGAGGTGAATGCTGTAGCTACCAGAGATTATATCTTTGCTTTGATATGGGATCCCAAGATGTCGAGGCCAGCACCACCGTCGTATAGTTGCTGCTCAACAGCTCGAGCATTGATCTAGACAATTGTCAGATATCCATACGATGGCAAAGGTGGAATAGTGAACAGTCCAACTTACATGCTGCATACCGAGATCTTCCACTTTATCAACTCCCAACAACCGCATTGCTGTCATTGTTTCCGCACAGAGAACTGCCAGTTATGTCAATATATCATATCGTAGCACAATAGAAGCAAAAGGCAATCATACTTTCAAGCATTCGTTCAACACCTTCGGGGCCACCAGCTGCAAGACTGAAGAGTGCATTCCTACCAACACCAACCCCCTTGGCACCCAGACACAGTGCTTTAACCACATCTGTGCCTCTCTTAATCCCACCATCAATCCAAACCTCGATTCGATTAAAAACTTCAGGACAGTATTTGCGGATCTCCATCAAGGTATGGATGGAAGGAGGAGCAGTGTCCATCGCTCTTCCACCGTGGTTCGAGAGAATGATACCTTTTATCTGAGGGGTATGCAGAGAAGCAATGTAAGCGTCTTCATGGGTCTGGATACCCTTCAGTACAATGGGAAGGTCGGTATGTTTCAACAGCCAGGGTAAGGTATCCTTCCATGTTAAAGATGGGTCTGTGCCAGCAAATAACTGTTGTCCTAGACCACTGCCACCAGCAATCTCGTGTCCCCCCGATGATTTGACTATGTCTGCGACGGCAGGAGTATCTGCGATAACCTTTGTGCGTTCATCAAGCTCTCTCTTCCCCGGTACGGGTGCGTCGAGGGTGAGGCAAATAAATTTGATGGCTTTGAGCTTGTTTATGCGTGCCAGCATAGCTTCACTCTTCTTTCGCTCAATTTGCACATATAACTGCCATCCGAACACTTGATCTGGGGGAGCCCCTTTGACAATCTCTTCTGGAGTCATGGAGGCATTGTTGGAGATAATTTGCATAGCACCGAATTTGGCACATGCGGCAGCAATACCAGCTTCGCCTGAGGGGTGCGCAAGCCGTGCCATTGCAGTAGGGGAAGCAATAATGGGGGTATTGAGCTTGTAACCCAACATATTAGTGGCCAGACTGCAGTTTTTGCAATCCACAAAGACTCTTGGGCGAAGTAATATAGATCTGTAGATACTGTTGTTCAATGATTTGGAGATCAGATCATCCGCTCCAGAAAAGTAATATGCCCAAGCCTTGTGGGTTAGCTGCTTTGAAGCAGCCGCCTCAAAGTCATCCATGTTCAAGAGAGTCGATAACGGAGGAGGCCCTTCGGTGGTCTTTTCTGCTTTGGCTGGCTTTGGGGCAAGTTTTTCCAGAGACTTCTCATCTACTCTGCCTACCAGGGCCTCTGGAGGGAGACTATCCTCCAGAGTACCGGTAGGATGAATTGGATCGTATTCTTCGGTTGCATCCCTCCCAGCCAGTTGCAGGATGATATTCGCGCCTCCCGGATGATTGGGGAGGAAATTCGTAACCTAGATAAGCGAATATGAGCAAGACAAGGCACGTTAACGTCATGAGGACTGGAATATTTGGCTTCGGCTCCAACCAGCTGCTCTCATCAGACAGTCAATTCCGGCACAATTGCTCCGTAGTGCCTCTGATAATCAAGCAATGCTCATTCGTAAATTCGCTTCTCAACCAGCCCAGCGCTTTGATCGCCCCGGAATCACGCAGGGCAGACAAGGGACGATGAAGCGAAAAAGGAAAGATAAACGGTCTAGATGTAACTAGCTATGGGGAGTACTCACATCGTACACCTTCCCGTAGAGAACCACCCAGCAGCTATCCGTCTTGTTGTGCTTGGCGACTGCAGGAAGAGCAATGAAAAAGCAAAGCCAATCAGTCAGTCAAATTGATTTCAATCCGCGTCTATCTGAGCCAATGATGGAAGTGTTGCAAGTGATAATAAATTTTTTAAGAAAAATAATAGAATGGTGGGATGAAAAGAGGAGACCCTGTTACCTTCTTCTGCATCAATCATCCTCGAGGATGCCATGGTTCCACTGGATTTCGGATCGGCCTTGCAGGAGGGACGACGTTGAATATCAGTCTGCAAGGGATAGTTAGCAGATGGTGCAGCTAACTAGTTAGATGTTGGTACCTCCGAAGTTCCTTTTTGAACCCCCTTGCTTAACCCTGGGGAATATAACTATATAATCGGACCGGATGGCAAACTGTCCAGTAGCTAGTGACTCGTAGCAGGATCCTGACAAACAGGCGAGAGGCGAGACGACGATGAATGAATATAAAGGAGGCCCTGCAGCGAGAGGGAAAACAGGGCCACCGGCCAACACCCCGGCACCAGTTCGGTTGCTTCCTCAAACCCGCAAATCAGCCGGCTCTACGTATCCACTGCCTGCGATTCCCGCCCTATGGGACGAATGTTGATGACCTTTTCTCTCCACATTGCCAATGATCCGGGGCGAGGTAGCTCCCCAGCCAGAGATAAACGGCCGTAGCTCGGTAAAGCATCCAACTTCATGTCTCGCGGGTGGATTGCTTCCTCGAGAAGGTCTGTTGCTTTCTCTGTTTACATCCTACACTGGATCTATTATCATTCTGACGACATAATTCATGCGGGCTGCTCGAAGTAGTTATACCATGTCGAGGGGTCTATGTCACTCCACTGAATAAAAGCGACTTTTTGGTGGCTGGACCTTCTCACGCGACTCGGCCGAGGGCTTAGGGCGCGGCTAAATGGAGACAGCAAGGTGCAACCAAGAGGGATCGTGATATCATGATGCCGTGTGTTGAAGAAGGACATGTTGATTATGGTTGCAGAGGCTGTTCTCTGTTGTTGTTGTTGTTGTTGTTGTTGTTGTAGTTGTAGTTGTTGTTTCTGACAGCTACGTGTTGCCTATCTAGCCAGCTAGTGGTTGCTGTAGTAGAATTGGACTTCTACTACGACAACCACACAGCCAGCACAAAAGACTTACCCTCCATCACTGCACATAAGAAAGGAGTCCTTTCTTTACCCTGCAGCCCTCTTATCCATCTGCAGGTCTTTGATTAATCTCTACTACCGGTATGCCCGGAATCTCTCGAGGGGCCTTCACTAAGTGACTGCGCGTTTTGATATACCATCAACAATGACACAAACACAACACACTACTTCGACCAAATCCAGAAAAGCGAAAGCCATGGGACTGCTTACGATCCCGGTAGAGGTACTGGACGAGATCACCGGCTATTTAAGCTACTCGTCCCGGTTCGCTCTCTCTCTCACCTGTCGAGCACTTCATACCTGGATCGACAACCCATACTGTACTTCGAAAAAGCGTGACAAACTTCTTTCTGAACGGCTATCACAGTCCCGATGCCCTGTGATCAAGCCCAAGGACCTGTTTGAAATTGAGATGTGGCCAGCATACTTGAAACAAGACAATGTCCAGATGGCTCACGGCTACTTCGCCTGTGGGGAGTGTGTCAGACTCCGACGCGCACGACACTTTACAAACGCCATGATGAAAGGGAAGAGAGGCAAGATTGGATCAGGCACCATTGAGCAACGGTCGAAACGAATTTGTATCCAGTGTTGTTTACGACTTGGCCGGTTTTCCCCTGGAACGACCTTCTACTTTGGAGGAGCTGAAGTCCATGGACTTGGCATCATTTGCGCGAGATGCCGCAGATACGAAGGATATGAGGATTATCATTGGAACAGATCTGACACTTGCGGTGCATGCTTGTCCATGTATGGAATGCCAGCCAGGCACTACTCGTTGTACGAAAAGAGTGTAGAGGACTATCTTGCTGAAGCTCGGTATTATCAACAACTTGCCGCCTCTTATGCTAAGACTCCATTTTAGTCTTCCTTCCCGGCTTGTCTGTCTAGTATCATGTATCCTGGGGCTTTTCCTGCCCAGCAGTGACTTACTCTTTCTCCGAGACTGATAGCTAGGTAGCCTTAAATAATATATTAATTGATATCTCTGTCTCTGCCTCCATCTCCATCTCCATCTCCATCTTCGCCTTTCTGTATCTATATAGACACGTGACCCATCTGGTGATCGACCAAAAAACCGCCAGCAGCCAAAGAAGACGCGAAGAAGAAGCAAAGAAGCAAAGAAGCAAAGAAGAAAAGAAACGCAGGAGAGGAGACAAAGAGAAGACAAAAGACGACGGCTGGGGATGCGAGTCTAAGGGCGACCGAGTCCCTCCTGCTCTCCCATCTTCGCGTGTCCTACCCTGACCAGCCGAAACTTCCCCCTTTTCTGAGCTATCGACTTAGTGACCGGCCAGGCATCATGTTCGAGGTAAGCCGAACAAAAAACTCCCCGGACTTTCGCAAAGACCCAGGGCCGTCATGGCTTCCAGGGCCTGCTGGGCAGGAGAGAAAGAGGACGTCAAAGACGTGCGAGCAGACGGCTGACTGACATGTCTCCCTCCAGCGTCGAGCAGCAGACCGCTACCGCCTGCACCGCCATCGCGCGCGGTCCGTCGTCCTCACGCCGGAGGAGATGGTCGAGGTGCGCGCCGCCCAGCGGACGTTCGAAGGAGCCTACATCCGCACCTCGATCTCGCAGTTCTCCTTTGCCCTGATCATTCTCAAGATCTTCACGGCCGAGTTCTACAGCATCGGAGCGCTGTTTGCGGTCTACGGGGCCGGCGTGATGACCATCGGCCTGTTCAGGAGGCAGCAGGGCAACAGGCAGTTCTTCTCCGAGGTCGACGAGGACGGCGTCCAGCGACGGAAGTTCAGGACAAGCGGGAACGTCGTCGTCGTGCTGACCGCGCTGAGCATCGCGGCGTATGTGTGTTTGCTTGCCTTGACGCTGAACCTGGACGTGTAACTCGCTGTGACCGCTACTCTTCTGACGCGGCGATCGAACCGATCGATCTGCGGCTTCACCATCTTACATACGATATCGACTACTTTTTTATTTTCGGGATTATCATCTACACTCTCACCTTCTTTTTACCGCGGAGTGGGACGGGTCTTCCGTGCGTATTATTTGGTACAGGTCCGGGGGGTTGGACGGCACGGCGTTGTTGGAGCGGATATGTAGCTGCACATGGGCTGCGGAGGATGAGGATGCACAGGGGAGAGAGAGAGAGAGAGTCATCATTCTTCACCCAGGCCAAGGACTCCGAGTCAGGCGGACTGGATGTCCTACCCCTCAGGCTGTGTGGTAGGGCGGAACCGCCTGGCGATCTTCCCGGCTTCCCGGCTTCGTTCGAGTAGCTACCTGTTGCGCTCGCCTCATACTCCAGGAAGTATGTCTGGACAGTCGAAAGGCGCGAACGTTGGAAAGGCAGGCCAGCATCGAACAACCCAGCAAGGCGCTGCAACCCCTGCCTTTGCCCCAGGCCGCCCGATGGACGACGCTGAGCTGTTGGCTGCTGTTGGCTGCCTTTGCACAGGCTGCGCAAGAAACGCCCTCTGTCTATCGGACAGAAACACGTCCCTTGCCTGCCTGCGGGCTGCCTGCCAACGTGGTCCAACTCGCTGCGGTGCCTGGTCCCGAGCCTAGGGCGATTGATCTAGATGTCCGTATCTATATAACTGAGCAACCTCTTATAAAGAAACATCTTCACATAAAAATACATAGTCATAACTACATCGCTCCTCCAGCCCTTTTTATGCTCCCTCGAACGGCTGAGACGACGCCACTGACTCGCCGTCTGCCTGCCTCCCTGCTGACTGTTGCTGTGTTTTTAAGTCTGAAGCAGTCAACTACGGTTTCGTATAAAGTATCTCCTTGCGCCGCTGCTTCGATCTATCTTCTCCTTCTCTCCTCCGCCCTTGTACCGCTTCGACACTGCTTCGTCACAGCGCAGCATCCGCAGCATCCAGCGACTCCCATCCCATCCCATCCCATCCCAAGGGCCTCCTCAGTCCGTCCTCAGCTGCATCCGTCCGCATTCTCTCTCTTGTGTCTTTTTCCTCCTGTCCGGTGAGGTCATCGGTGGACCTAGCCTGCTGCTAGAGCTGCACGTCGCAGCCAGTGACATCCCGTCCACCAGCGCCATCAAGCCGCGATTAGTAAAAGAAAAGAGATACTTACATAGCTACCGACGGGGGAGAGGAGAGTGACATCAACAGCGAAGGGCAGAGCAAGGGAAAAAAAGAGGTCCCGGCAAGGCAGCTTTCAGCTTCATGGCCGCTGGACAGCAGACGCCATGCCAGCACCAGCACTCGCATCTCGCTAGAGCCGTCGTGGTGAGAAACTCCAGCTTCAGCCCGTCGCCGCCGCCAGCATCAGTCTCAGCATCCTCAGCCAGGCCGAAGAAGAACGGCTTTCCCAGCAGCAGTAGATCTGCCTCTTCCCTCTCGTCGGCGTCGTCGTCGTCGCCTCTCGCGTCTAATGGTGACGGCACTGCTGCTGCTGCCGCCGCCGCCGTCTCCTCCTCCTCCTCCAGCATGACAGACATCCAGCACCACCAGCATCCTCCTCCCGCCGGCACTCCCAGCCCTCCTTCAGCGGCTTCGCCAGGAGTCCACCAGCATCACTATGGCTCGACGCTGGCACCGCCTGCAAAAACGGTCGTGGGCAGGGCCCTGGGCATAGATCGCTTCTCAGAGCCCCAGCAACGCCGGACCAGCGGCGACGCTGCTGCTCCTGGTGGCCTGGCTGCACCAGGCTGTGGCCTCTCCATGGCCGATACTCCACTCCCCAGCGCCCCAGCATCGCCGCAGATGTGAGTTCTAAGCTTATGTTTTCTTGTTCAAGCTCTTACCCTGCGTACTACTACTACTACTACCGAATACTACTGCTATGAGCTAGTTAAGTGTCTAACGCCCGGGGAAGTAGGACACCTCGATCTCATGGCTCCGGAGCTTCAACCCCAGGCAAACACCGCGCCACCACTCTTGATATCCCCGGGCTGACCAAGTCCAAGGTCTCACCAGATGGCCGCATCGCACAGCGTGACATTGGATCGAAACTTGTGATTGTCATGGTCGGCCTTCCCGCCAGAGGCAAAAGCTACATCACCAAGAAGCTTTGCCGCTACCTCAACTGGCTGCAGCACGACACGAAGATCTTCAATGTAGGAGAACGCCGTCGAGTCGTGGCCAGCTCTACCCCGCAGGCCGAACCAAAGAAGATTGGCCCCGTTGTCGATGAAAAGCTGAGAAAATCCGTGCGAGAGCTCAGCATTGGCGAGCTCCCTCCAGAGGAACAGGCGGAGCTCGATGCTGCGGAGAGGGAGATAAAGAAGTCTCAAAATGGTGTACCGTCGGGAGAAATACCGCCTCTTGATATGCCTCCAAGCTCCGTTCCGTCTGCTCAAATATTTGTCAATGGTGAGCTTCAGGATGAACCGTCACCGCAGCCTGAGCCAGCTCCAGACACGCCGGCAGACGGTAGTGCTAACGGGGAGCCGGCCACAGCTGCCAAAGCTGAAGAGGGAATGGACCAGTCTGCCCAGTTTTTCGACCCAGATAACCAACGTGCAGTCCAGTTGAGAGAACAGGTTGCCCTAGCTACCCTTGACGAACTACTGGATTATATCCTTGAACAAGAAGGAAGCGCCGGCATCCTAGACGCAACCAACAGCACCCTGGAACGACGGAAATCTGTCATGGCACGTATTCGTGAACGAGCCGGACCAGAACTAAACGTCCTCTTCCTGGAAAGTTGTTGTTATGACGCTATGCTACTAGAATCAAACATGCGTCTCAAACTCTCAGGACCTGACTACAAGGACATGGAGCCAATTGTTGCTCTGGAAGACTTCAAAAAGCGTATCAAACTATATGAACGCAGCTATGTGCCTCTAGGAGAGTATGAGGAACAACATAACATGCCATACGTCCAGACAATCGATGTCTGCCGCAAGGTCGTTGCTCATCAAGCCACCGGCTTCATGGCCTCCCAGGTTGTCTCCTACTTACTGAACTTCAACCTATCGCCTCGCCAAATCTGGATATCCCGTCATGGCGAGAGTCTGGACGACGTCAGTGGAAGAATAGGCGGAAATGCACCGCTCAGTGAAAATGGGACTCAGTATGCCAAAGCCCTTGCTAAATTCATTGACCACCAACGCGCACGCTGGGAAGAATACCAAAAGATAAAGGCCCTATCAACCCATTTCCCACCCCGGCCAGGCGACAGTACTCCCCCAAACCCTCAGTATGCAGCTCAAATCATGGAAGGCGGACGAAACTTCTGCGTCTGGACCTCAATGCTTACCCGCTGCATCCAGACAGCGCAATTCTTCGACGAAGAAGAATACGATATCAAGGAGATGAGAATGCTCAACGAGCTTAATGCGGGGGTCATGGAAGGATTGACCTATGATGAGATCCGAGAACGCTTCCCATCCGATTTCGAAACCCGGAGGAAAGAGAAATTGCATTACAGGTTCCCTGGCCCCGGTGGTGAAGGGTACCTCGATGTCGTCAACCGGTTACGTGCCGTTATCGTTGAAGTCGAGCGAATGACGGACCATGTCCTCCTTGTTGGGCCTAGATCCGTTGCCAGGACACTGCTAGCTTATTTCCTCGGCCTGAAGAGAGAGGATCTCACTGATCTTGCAGTGCCTCTGGGTATGATCTACTCTCTGGAGCCGGTAAGCATTATCTCTCTAATCACATAGTTTCCGCTCCCGAATGGAACTAACCATCTATGTATAGAAACCATATGGCGTTGAATATAAAGTCTACCAATACGATCCCGAAGCCTGCTGGTTCGATGAGCTCCCGAATTACAAAATTGGCCAGAAGTCTTACTACTAATTACGCCTATCTCGATATCCTTTACTCATGCGGCATACACACTTGGATAAGCCCGGTAGTACGCAAATTCTTACGCATGTTACTCATCCTTGCACGATTATGCTTCCTTCCTCCTTATGCATTGTTCTTCTCAACTCACTTTTATCCTCTCCCTCTATCTCTTATCTTTCAGTCTGAGTCCAACCTTTTTTCATCTGCGGTGTATGGGGTTTTTGTTACTATTTCATATTTCCACGGATGGAATACGGCGCATAAACCTTCTCGGTTCGAATTTGAGTCACATCATGGCGCTATGGGTTTATTCTAACATGTCTTTTGCTTTTCCCTTCCATGTTGTTCGAAGCCCTGTTGTGTTGTGTCATATTTCCCATCCTGTTTGTTTCTAGTTTATTGCTGTACTGTATTTTCCATTTCCCTCTGCGTGGATGCGTGTTATTGATGTTATGATGTCTAATGATCGAATATTCATCCCCTCTCTATCACGTACATATCCTAATATATATGTCGTTCCTCTCAAGGAGCTAAACGTCCAAAGCAATATACAGACAGCTTAGGAAAGAATATTCTCATTCATGTACACATATCTCAGGCGAATTTACATACAAGTGCCCACGAAACATCCAAAAGAAGGAGCAGGTAGTCCGAAACAAGACAGAAATAAAAATAAGACCAATCAATCATACCGACGGGCAGCTCATATATAGCGAGATAAACATCATTTAGTGTATGGTATTATGTCGCTCAGTTTCTACGCAACAGCAGTAAAACGAAAAAAAAAAAAAAAAAAACCAAAAACGTAAGGCATAAATAGTCCTTAAATCGACAATGAGATAAATCGAAAAAATGGGAAAGTGCTCACGAGATGTAGAGATTAGACGTTTGGCTGGGCCTGGAATTGAGGCCGAGCTGTCATAAATGGAGCAGCTTCGGCGATGTTTCCGGTTGGTGACGGTGCGTTCGGAGCAGGGTCTGCCCAGACAATAGAAGCATACTATTATGATACGAACGGGAGTTAGTGGACAGTTACACGAACCAAGGAAGATGCGTTGGGAGAGGTGATGTGTTCAGTGATGTGACACATCACTAATTTATCGAGCAAACATTTCATTTTGTAGTTTAAAATTGGGACAGAGGGGAATGGGTGAACGCATACCTTGAACCAGAAATTTAACACCAAAGCGACTGCAATACCCAGACAGACGACAAGAGGCCCAATGACATTATCAAAGTCCTTGCCACTGCGTTCTCGGATCAGTCGCGAACGAGACTCATACATCCACCATCCCCAGGCTCCAGTAAAGATGGAGAAACCAGTATAAACGAGCGCTAGATAGCGGGTGATAGTTTTGTCAGGTCCGGCGGCATTATACATTGTGAGTGATATACCAGCGAGGAGAATGCAAATATGCTGCCATTTGACGAAGGTACGTTGGTTGGCGAGCCAAACTTTAGCTTCTACACGGACGGGGCCGGTGTCCTTGAGCCAGTAGCTTGGCATAGAGACACCAGAGGGTAGCTGGGGTTGGGGAGAGCGATGGGCAAGGGCATAGCGGGACATGGAGAATGGGATGCGAAGCAACGAGGATGTCGGCCGGGATGACGGTTGAGGCTGGGCTCCGTTGGCCTGCTCGGTAGATGGAGGCAGACTAAGCTCGGGAATGGGAGCTCTGGGAGTTAACTCAGACTGGGACTGGGACTGAGATAGAGCCTCGGGACGAGGGGAGGTAGGCTGAACTACCCCCTGGATGCGAATTTGGGTCTTGGGAGTTGACTCTTCTGTCATCATGTGGCTGATAGGGGAGCCGACGAGGTGCTGGATGCTAGGAATCGTCTGGCGGCTACCAAGGAAGCTGCCAACAGCGAGCTCATCCTCTGCTTGCTTGGCAATCCGTTCTTGTTCTTGCTGGAAGGCAGTTTCTGGATCTTGTCTGATATCCGTGTCGAGATCGCTAAGCCAGAAGGGGAAGCTGTTGATGTGATCTTCGAACAGCTGCGCGACACCATGAACGAACTTGGAGAAGCGTGGCGCTTCCTTGACAAGATGGGATGACATGAGGTCGGAGAGCCAGGCCTCAACATTGCTTCCACGACGCTTACCACTAGTATTGCGGATCTTAATCTCTAGAAGCGCATGAGGGAAGCGCGAGATCTCACCGCGAGGAATTTCTGAGAAGGGGAATTCCATTCTTCGGCTATCGATATCTGGACGATGCCAGTCCTCGGGCTCACGGCATGGACGCTCGAAATCTAGAGTGTCCTCGCGGATAAGGGCTAGGTCCGTGTCGAGGGAGATACGGAGGCGATCGTCACCAGGGATCTGGAATGCGGTGTGGGTATAGTTTGCACGAACCATGGGCTCCAACCCATGGCTCTTGATAAACTCCTGGATCTCTTCAACATCTCGTTTGAGGTTATCAGCACGCTGAGGATCGCCATTGCCTTGAATCTCGATCTTGTGGATGATTTTCTCCATCTTATAGGATCCGTTGAGGAAGGCATTGATATGTTTCTTCTTGAGACGGATCCTGATCTCGCGGCTGCTGTCGCCATCGTTCATTATCTTCTTCTCCAGGTAGACCTCAACCTGGTCGCTGAGGTGGCCAGTCCAGCGCAGGCGAAGGGAACCGGCTGCGGGTTTGTTTGCTACCTTTTGGTTATACAGGTCGAACGAGCGGTTGTCAAAATAGAGCGAGGTGAGCGAGGGGTCCCGTTGGGCGACATCGAGCTCCTTTGAGGTATTCGGGTTATAGACAAGCACGGGCAGACGGCGCAGAATGTAGGTCTTGACCTCCAGCAGGTTGTCGGCGTGGACCCAGAACTTGTGGGAGGTATATGTCTCACGGCCGGTCTGGGTATCAACCGCGGGCCCATCCTTGGGCATTGGCTGTCCCTCCGTTCCCAGGATGGACCTGACGAACGAGAACATGGCCGACAAGCGGTACAGCAGCGGCGAGTAGTCCTCCGAGTTGAATGGGAGCTGCGACATGCGGACCTGCAGCAGCGGGCGGACCTTGTACTTGGCTCCACGCTTGCGGTCGTGCTTCTTGGCCGCTTTCAGGAAGCCGGTGAAGTTGATTCGGCTGAACTTCTCGAGCTCGCCCAGCTCCTCGGTGATGCGGTCGAGCTTGCTGAGAGTCTCCTGCGCGACGGCCTCGTTCTTCTTCACGTTCTCCAGCTTTGCCTCGCCCTGCTGTGCGGCCACTGGCTCCAACGCGGCCTCGCACTCGGCTGTCAGCTCCCGCAGTCTCTTGTGAGTCTCGACCTGAAACGAGTTGACCTTGTCGAGCTGGACGTTGATTAGCTCCTGCACGAAGTTCTCCTCATCCTCGTCGGTCCACGGCCTGCCCTCGCCCTCGTCGCCATCCTCAGATCCCTCATGCTCGCGGAGCAGCTTCTTGAGAGCTCGGTAGTCGATGTAGTGGTCCTTCCATGGCGGATAGACCGACGTCTGCAGGGTCTTGCCGAAGCGCATCCTGACAAAGCTGCAGCTCGCTTTCAGCAGCTGTACCTCTCGCAACAACAGAAACAGCAGAAACAACAGAAACAACAGCGTCCAATTGAGCTCTCACGCCGTCGATGGCTTCGTCTATGGCCTGGCTGCGAGACGGATCGTGATAAAAGCAGGGCAAAATAAACCAAGATCAACGCCGGCGGCGAGAAAAAGTCGAGAAAAGTCGAAATTTCGCCAGCTTCGGAGATGCGCCCGATTGGGACTAGCTCCCCCACGTGCAATGACGACACCTATGCCACGTGATATAATGATTATGTAAATCTTATATAATATCTATTTAGATCACATGACATGGTATATCTTGGCATCAAAGAAATAGGTAAACAAAAAGGCAGGAAAAGGGCATCAACAGTAACAGAGACAGAGACAGAGACAGAGAGACGGCGAAGAGACGGGCAAGGGAGACGACGAGAATGGCGGTACAGAAGTTGTATCCGCGGGCGACGGTGAAGCGGATCGTCAAGTCTCATACGCGCAAAGCCCTGACCAAGAATGCAGACATACTGGTAGGCACGGGAGGGAGAAGAACCCAACATCTATATCTGCGCTGCGCTTCCACTGACGATGCACAGATATTCCTAGACTACATGCTATTCATGCAAGAGTCCGCTCCCACTGAATCCCTGAGACCAGGCCCATACTCACTGTTGCAGGTTGATGCGCGAAGCCTCGATCCAGGGAAGAAAGCGCGGCGACAAGGGCATCACGGCCAGAACTGTGCGACGAGTTACTGAGGTGAGCAGCCCTTAAGGTTGATGGCCCTCCTCTGGCACAGATGGCCGTTTCTCATGAGAATTACACGTCTAGGGGGCGCTACGCAAGTTCAAGGGATAGGCGAAACATACTTGTCTTCCGTTGGTCGACATGATCAAACCATAGGCTCGAGACTAGATATATGGCGTTGTTATAATCGGTTCGGTCGGCGTTAAACTAGGTTAAAGGTATCGATGGCGTCCGTCTGAAGACGCCTGGGAGGGCTGAGATACCCCGGAGTCTGGAGTAAATTATGAATATATGATGGCTTCTTGCATTGCTTTCTGCCTGCGCTCGAGTTAGATGCTTCTTCGCACTTCCATCTTCTTCTACCATATAAACGGATGAACAACTGTAAACATCACTCGAATATCAACTGAAGAAAAGGAAAAAGATAGAATAAAAAGCAAACTCCACAGAAGATTAGCATTTTCTGGTCGTAAATTACCTGGCACAGTTGAGCGTCAGTTTGTGGTGTTGTGCTGTCTGTGGTTGTAGAATACCCTTTTCTTCTCGCTGGTGCTCATCCTGCGGGATAGGACAAAAAAAACCTTTTACACCAACAACGACCCAAATTCCAAAAATTCCAACGTCAAAACTTCTTCCATCTCCGCTTCTCTCCTGCACTCACTCGATCTCTGTCTTGCTACTCGAATCGACCGACTTTTTGTCTCCTCTACGACACTTCAGCTCATTCGTCTCATTATTCCATCTGTTTCCCTGCTGTCTTTCCAGTCACACGACCAAGCTTCTCGAGTCCCTATCCAACCACCATGTCCGCCGTTACAGCTCCCAGCAACCCTTCACAGACTCAGAATACTAAGAAGAGACGCGGCAAGGCGGAGGCTTCTGCTACTGTAGCTGCTCCCGTCTCTGTTGCTGCATCAAATACTGACGCGCCTAGTGTTGCGGCTGCTGCTGATGGTTCTGCCAACGGACACCATGAACCAAGCTTCCTCAGGGAGCTCCAGAAGTACGTCCGTATTAAACCCGGTGTGATGAGACTGATGCTGACTTTTTTTTTTTCTTTGCTAGAACCCTTCGAAACACTAACAAGAAATTGGTAAGCGCTGTTCCTTTGCAGTTTCTACCAGCAACCAGACTGACGAGACATCTCAGAACGCAACCGCCAAAGTCGATGCAATCATTGCTGAAAACCCCGGGAAATCCCTCGAGGAGCTTGTAGCTCTGAAGAAAATCAATGCAGACCAGAAAGCCCAGGCCCTCAAGAAACCTGCTCTCCAGGAAACTATTGCCCACATCGAAGAGCAGATCGCTCAATACAAACAACTCGAAGCATACTATGAAGAACAGCGTGCCAAAGAAATAGCAAAGATCGAAGCCCAGCACAAAGATGAGATCGAATCGTTGAAGAAGAATCTTGAGACCGAGTCCAAAGAGAGTTCTGAGAAACGCTTTAAGGACCGATTGCTTGTCCTCAGCCGTTTCTTGCGCGCAGCTGCTGCCATGAGGGGAGTTGCTGATGAACACTCTATCCAGGCTCGTGGGTTTGAGGGAGCATTGTACCAGGTTTATGGTGGAACAGAACAGGCGGTCGATGCCATGGTCAAGCTGATTGATGGCACCGATGACAAGGTTCCCAGCGTTGAGTCTGAGATCCTTGACATCACCTGTAAGTTCAGAACTCCCTTCACCGATATTAAGCTCTCTCATCCCAGTCCACTGACAAGTTTGCTCTTGTAGACGCACAAATTAAGCGCACTTCTCTTGAAGACTACGCTCAATCCACCGGTGAAGCTGTCTTAACTGAAGAAGAAGCCGCCCCTGCTGCCGATGCCAATGCAGTCCAAACTGACCCAACAATCGCCAATGCCGGCCTTACTGAAGCTGAAGAGCCTACTGTCTCACAAGCTGCAGCCGCAGATAGCTTTCAACCTAAACCCCAGTCAACTGCTGAAGAAGCAGCCCCCCTAAAACCTACCGAGGAGAATGTTGCAGCCAACGAAATCGCGCAGACCGTTTCAGTAGAATGGGATCCAAATCCCTATAAGCCCAGTGCTTCCACAGAGGAATGGCTTAGTGTGCAAGTTCCCCAACCTGGTACTGCTGCCGAGGCCTCTGTTGCTGCTGAAGCTGCTGTTCGTCAACCGCTCACCTCTGAAACTTGGGTAGAAGAGCCACCGACCAACAAACAGGTCGACGGCTTTGAACGGGTTAACCATCCTCGTGGGCGTGGACGAGGTTATCGCGGTCGTGGCCAAGGCCAGCGTGGTGGCGGAGAGCACCGCGGCCGTGGCGGCTATCACCACCGTGTTGGGAGCGAGTACCGTGGCCGTGGACGTGGCCGTGGCGGCGAATATCGAGGAAACGGAAACGGCCACCGTGGTGGAAGACCCGCTCCCGCTGCTGCTACTGCAGGCGACGCTTAAAGGCTAGTATTGGGCCCGTCATGCTGAATTTACAGCCCTTAACATCCTTATCTTCACGCTGCTTTCTGCTTAAGCTTGGTCATTCGTTGCATCGCGGGCTTAGTTTCGTTCCTCACCCCTTTCACCCTCTATTCCCCGCCCCTACCCTTTCCCTCTCCCATTCAACTCTTTAGTTTCCATACGTTGCTACACGTTGCTATGTCATGACGGACGGCACTTGCAAAAAATCGAACCTCACCTACCAACCACAAAAGCCGTAACGACCTAATTATTTCGAAATACTAGCGTGCATATGGGCTTCTTTTTGTTGCCCTCATTTTTTTCGTCTTCCTTTTCATCTTCATCCTCTTCTTTCCATCCATTGATTGGTTGGTCGTTTCTTCTTTATTCCCTACTCTCAATTCAAACGTCACTATCTACTTTTTGTATTTTATGCTTGCCGGTTTCCTAAGCTCGAGGAGGTATGGAAGGGAAATGGAGATTGGGATGGAATAAGGATAGGGGTATGGACATGGGGTGTTTGTTTCTTCTTTGGTTCTTTGTCCTTTGACGGAAGCTATGTATATGGCAGTCATCTTCTACAGCCAGCAAAGCAAAAGCAGTGATTTGAAGGTACCTATGCTTCTTTTATCTAGTAATTATTTGCTTTGCAGATAATAGATATACGCCAGCATTGCTACTTCTGATCGTAGGAGCTACGCATCTGAAGAAGATTGCCTGTATGAAGCCATGTTTAACCGGCCATCTCCTCAATGTGTTATTTCCTGTGAAGAACAAGGGCATCTTCTATAGGCAGTGTACCCGTATAAAACATTACGATACTCTATTTCAACGATCTCACCGTCTTGCAAGCTACTAGGGTTCTCAGTAACCCCATGGGCCAGGTAAGACATTCATATCTTTCTATATTATTAGGTGGTCGCCTCTCCTCCTTAATTAAATTTTAGGATGTAATATCCCTGGCATTATTGTAGCCTAGTCATCTATCACACTTATAACAATGTATGCCTTAGATTCTCCTTTTAGTCCATGCTCAATAGCCCGATCACCAGTTGGCCATGCAGCTTCCAGTTATTATTATCCACGGAGTAAGCAGCTGACATAATCGATTTTCCTCGATGATAATTTTTCCACCCTTCCAACACACCAACAAGTAGCATCTCTCTTGACTGTAGTTATATTTACCTATCACATGTTTTGTAAGAAGTCGGAGGCATGTAATGTCATACTTCCCCAGTTCATTATATTTCTACAGGAGGATCGAGACTATCGGGGTTTAAGAGACATGTCTCAATTGGTACTAAGGTAGACTAACATCATAGTTATTAGATAACTCAACATACTAAATCTACGCATATGTTGTATAATTTCCTAGTTAAATGCCATCGTCAACATTAATATGCACAAGGCTGATACAAATAAAGTATTAAGGTTTGCGTAGTTCAAGAGCCTCTCATTAACAAAGTTAATTAAAGCCCCAGCTATTTTTAGAAACAGAAAGGCACGGACCACACCCAAGCTCAACCCAAAGCCAAAGTTCTCCTCCATATCTGAGCACGAGGAGATCAGAATAATAATGGCAACAGCCTTATTGAAGATTAAAAAAGTTTACGGTGCTTAACTGACAGAAAAACGTTATTCAAAAATGGCAGAGAATACGTCCAATATTCAACGACGACGAAAAATCCTCAAGACACTCTTCATCTCCCTCTTACTTGACCTCGTAAGTACACGCTTACAAGCCTTGCTCATCAGGAGCTAATATCACTAACTGAACTACTCCTTTACTAGATATCATTTACCTTTATTCTTCCACTATTTCCATCGCTTATAAGATTTTATCTTGAAAAAGATCCCTCTCCAAGCTCACTCCTGAATCGTATTCTCCAATACCTGAACGCATACAAGAATGCATTCTCAAAACCGATAGATTCGAAATACGATGTTGTACTTCTCGGCGGTGCTTTAGGATCCCTATTCTCGCTCCTACAGGCCGTTGCGGCACCCGTAATTGGCTCTATATCTGACAAACATGGCCGCCGTGCTGCACTTCTTTGGTCGATGGCGGGGAACATCGCTAGTGTTGCCTTATGGGTCGCTGCCACGGATTTCCGCACTTTCTTGGGGAGTAGGATAATAGGTGGGCTAAGTGAAGGAAACGTTCAGATTGCGAATTCTATCGCGGCGGACATCAGCGACCCTAGCCAACGTGGCTCAACCATGGCGTTGGTGGGAGCTTGCTTCAGTGTCGCGTTTACAATCGGCCCTGCTATCGGTGCAGCACTGAGCAACATTACCACATTTGCAGCGAATCCGTTTGCAACAGCTGCTGCATGCTCCTTATTTTTGATTGTCACGGAAACAATCTACATCTACTTCTGCCTGCCGGAAACACATCCGAAATTGGCATCTAAAGCTTACAAACCAGCTGCACCGGATAACATCAGCGGGAAGGAACATGACTTTAAGCCAGGGCCAAACAGACCATCACTAGAAAAACCTAGGGGATATACCAACAGCCCTTTTCTATTAAACATTACACACTTTTTATTCCTTCTGCCCTTTTCTGGCCTAGAGTTTTCTCTTCCCTTTATTACTGCCAACCTTTACGAAACTTCTCTTGCTGCAAATGCTGGCACAGCAAGCCCTTCCGCTCTTAACGGGCGTCTATCATCAGTGATGGGATTATTGGCCTCAATTCTGCAGGGTGGGGTGACACGTCGGCTTCCACCCCTTCTTACCGTCCGAATAGGCGTAGTAGCTTGCGCCATGTCCTTCGCCTTACTCGCTCACATTACAACGATAACCGGCTTGTACGCTGCTGGTTGTCTACTCGCTGTCACTAGTGCAACTGTGGTCACTGGATTGAATAGCCTGGGTAGTTTGGAAGCTCGTGAGGCTGAACGCGGCGCTTCCTTGGGTCGTCTACGAAGCTGGGGTCAAGCTGGCAGAGCTACTGGGCCAGTCCTTTTCTGTTCCCTGTTTTGGTGGGGAGGTAGAGAGGTAGCATATAAAACCGGTGCTCTGGCTATGGTTGGCGTCTGCGCAATTGCATTTGGGTTACTGAAATCACCCATGCTTGCTAAAACAAAGTAAACGGATTTGGATAGAAAATATTTTGTGGGGTAATTTAAATTCAAATGCATGGACGGGCATGGTTTATGGTATTGAGATATGTATATTATCAAGATGCCCTGTAGAGCGGCACAGTTAGAAGCAGGGTGAGCTGAGATTTTTACTATTTGTCTAATCCTATCCATGTAGATTCAAATTTGGGAATGTGTATTATACAGAAAGAAAAGAGCAAAGATCCCCGACCCCCCGCTATAAAGCCAACAAGAAAATGAAATGTTGTCAATGGCAAAAAGCATTAACATAGGTATCATAAATCATAGAACAGCCGGACGGCACATAAAAAGCTGGCTAGGGCAGGCCTCCCGCTGCTGCAGGTCAGACGAAATCTGTAAAAACCATCAACTCTTCGCATAACATAAATGTCAAAAAGGAAGAAAAGAAATGAGTACTCAGCCAGCAGGATGTTTGTAAGAGGGACTTCCGTTTTAACATCAGATTTCAAACGGGCCGAAGCGATAACGTGGCCTAGAAGTTTCCCTAGCCTTTCCTGCTACAAAGGCAGGTTGAGGAGGAACAATCTGTCCGGAGGCGCTTCCTTTTGCCTTTCCCAGGAGCCAGTCTGTTAGAGTGACCACCTTGGCCGTTCTATCCCACCCGTTGCCTTCATCAGCATGTTCAATCGTATGCGTAGCAATGCGGCCTTCTTCGTCGAAAGTGAAAATGAAAAGTCCAGTAAACTGCTCTTCTTTTCCAAGTTTGAATATAGGCATTTCTCCGCCGAGCAACATGCTGAGTCCCCTATTCGTCCCATTTAGAGCGGACGATGAGCTCATAGGGCTTTCCTTGTTTGTGCTTTGTTCCCGATCCGCTCGGTCTGGTGCAATGTAATCATCTACCTCTGAGCCGCGGCCGACTTTAGAAGCTGGGCGGTCTGCACCCTCGGTCACCCAGCGAACAACGAGTTTTTCACCACCAGGACTATCATTCCGATCGCTTCCATTAGCAACACCTGTTGGGACTACCCGCTCGCTTACTATTCGTAGGTTAACGTTCCCGATGATAGGAACACTGCCCCATGCCACAGGAGCAGTCCATAAAGCAGCTCGATAGGGCACTCGTCCTTTAACGGTAGGAAGATGTGGATGTGTAGATGGGAATAAATGGAGAGATATACTCGGCGAAAGGATCTCTTGCGGTAGTGCATTCACGAGGATTGTAGGCAGCTGTTTCGAGAGGATACGAAGAGCTTTCATCATGTCATTAGCATCGAAAATCCTTTCAAGTTATTTATTTATTTTCAGAAACATACTCTTTCCCAGTTTAACTATTCTTTCATCTGGCGGTTTATGATCTCCATCCCCATGTGGCTCGCCATATTGCGCGACTAGATTCGAGTGCGAGAAGTGTGTAGAGGAAACAGCTGTGATCCACGGCCCATCGGGCTGTATGGGAGACAGCTGCGCTAACGAGCGATTGTGCGAAAGTGGCTCATGGTTCCAGCGAGAGGATCTTTGTGCTATTTGGGCTAGAGAGCCTGTCTGTGATGAGACTCGGGTGATATATCTGTTGAGCTGGCCCGGGTTTGGCTTGAGAGACGGTGGGAAAGCGATTTGATGCGTGAGGTGCTTAGCCATTATCGGCAGGGGGCTGCATGCATTCCATGTAAGTAGTTATTCTAGAGACGCAGCAAGACTAGATAGATATGTTAGAGAAACAAGATATAATCTGCTGCAGAAAGAAGAAGCTGTTAAGAAGCATGAGAATTTGTGAATGTGGTCAAGCAGTGACAGGCAAGAAGTTGGAGCTACCTGATAAGTAAGGGAGGCCTGTGATTGGCTCGGAGCACAATGATGATGGTGGCCACCAAGATACTCTCTTCTACACCTGCTATTTGATAGTCTACAAGCTAATAAAGCCTCTGATCGTCCTCGATATGCAATGCATAAGTGAATATTACAATGTATCTACCTATTTATAGATCATAAGTACAAGGCCAGCTTCGTTATATATCGTTGTTATCCCCAGTGATGCCATCATCATCCTCACCCATCAGTCTTCGTTCTGCTATGGCCCTGATCTTGTCATCGAGTATAGATCTCTGATAGCGTTGTGCAATCTTGCTAGCAGCATCTAGCATCTTCCCAGAGCGGTCTCGGAGCATGGTAACAAGTTCAAGAGCTTTCATACCCCTTTCCTCACCCTCGCGGCACTCGACAGCAAGCAACTGCAGGAGAATCTTGTCAATATCAAGCGCTCTCCTCCTCAACTCAGCATCTCCAGCTGCCCCGATCTCGGATGCCGTGATGCAGTCCTCCAGAAGAGTATAGTCTAAATTCGCTCTGACAAGAGACTCTTGTAATTTCCTGTTATTGTTCCTCGCGGCTTCTTCAGCGTCTTCCATTTCCATGTCTCCATCTTTGTTGCTCTTTTCCTTGGATGAAGTGCAGGATATCGGTATTTGGAAGTCGAACTCGGTGAGCAATGGTCGTGGGAAGTAGGGATACTTATCCCCACCCTTTAGGATTATGCAGTGGAAAACATCCTGTGCAACAGCAACTGGCCAATAGGTTTCTTCCTTGCGGCCACTGGCAACACGTTCAAGCACTTTGGTGTCAAGGAGCGGGACCCAGCGGGCCTGTCCTGGTTTCCGCCAATGCTGCAACACAAGGAGAACCCCCGAGCTGTCATATATGCAGGGGTCCTGGATCATACACTTGAGTCAATATGGAGCTGGTTTACAGGGTTTCCTGGAGGGATACATACGCCCTTGTCTGAAAAAAATACGCTTTGCAGTCGCGTCCCTCCTGCTAGTGCAACAGCGTCCTCGTTTTGGCAAATCTCGTCACGTCGGACGTTCTCGATGGAGTACTTCAATTGCGCGACTCCATCACTACCTGCAGGGCCATTCCCGATGGTGATGATATAGTCTCGCCATGCTGCACAGGTCACTGTTTGACTCTTTTGTCGGAACACCCGATATGGAGTGCCAAAAAGTGTATAAATCCGAACGTAGTCCGTCGAAGTAGTCACCGTAATGTAAGAATTACTTAATGCAATGGCTTAATACAGTTAGAAACACCAGGGCAGATAATGAGTGGCATGGAAGGAACGTACAAGTAATCTTCTCTCCCGGTGGAAGCTCTGTCCGCCAGTCTGCTCTTGTTGTCCACGTTTCATGTGGCCGGTAAAATACGGCTGCTGGATAGCTGGAGGTGGGTTGACATGAAAATAAAGTGCCCTTCTCGTCTAGGATAGATGGTTAGACCAATAGGCAAAAATATCTAGACTGGAGGTAAAATGAGTCCACGTACTCAAACAGGCCTTGTCATAGAGATATGGGTCTGTGAAATGAAAGTCGCGATAACGTTCCCGGTCATAGAATTCCACAGTGACAGTATTGTGCGTGTCTTGATCAACAGTCCATACAAACCCAACAAGATTCAACGCTACGGTTTCGTTAACAAGGACTCTGCCGAAGTAAACAATTACAAGCTTACCTAGATATCTTCTGTTGCCTCTCCATGGGGTGCTGCCGGGCTGAAAGGGTTCATGAGATATAGTCTTCCAAGGGGCCGTTGGTCTCCGTTTTGTTTCATGACCAAATAACTCATCCATATGTGTGTTAGTCCTTTTTCCAAGGCCATTGACGTTTTCGGTGTAGCCTGCACCGTCGTCATCCTCAACAAAATCATCATCATCTGCTGGCCCTAGTATGTCATCAAGAGAGTCCGGGCTTCCTCCTCTCGGCCTGTTTCCAGAAAGATTACTGGTATCATGTCGTTGGGGTCTATGAGAGATTGTAATCTCCTCATGGGAACCAATTGAGAGTAACGGTGCCACTTCCAAGGTCTTTGCTAGAAGTGAGTGAAATTCCGACGGGACAAAATCATCGTAAATAAACAGCTCTCCATCCGAAGTAGTAAATGCAACAATATTCTGGGTGGGATGCCAGCGGAAATTAATAGCATTTGGCATATCGTATGTCTTTATGACTTTTTGGGTCCTGGTTTCCCAGAGGAGAATTTTGCGGTCAGTTCCAGCACTTGCAAGCATTGCCCCGTTAGGAGACCAGGCGAGACAGGTGACATCTCCATTATGACCACCAGAAAATTTCCGTTGCTTAGTCCAATCCCTACACGATATTACTGTGATATCTCTTGTGGCTTCTACTGCGGCAAATGCAGTTCCATCTGGGTGCCAAACTGCGCTTGATGTGGCCTCGTTGTCTGTTTCAAGTTGTCGAATCACCCCATCAAGTCTATGCAGCAGGGTAGGTTCCGTTTCCGTGAATGAGTAAATATAGATAATTCCATCAGCGCACGACACTGTGACAAATCGTCCGCTGGGATCAAATGTCACATGCTTGACTCCTTTTGTTTGGTCTCGCAAATATTTGACCTCTGTAATATCGTTAATATTCACGATCTTGACAGTGAGCTCACTATCCAGATTATAAAGTCAGTTAGATCCAACTTGTAATGATGCAACTAATATTCACCGGCTATTTCGACTTACTCGCTAGCAACAGCAACCCATTCCTCGTCCTTGGAGACCTCCAGGTCTCGAACTGGTAGTGCACAACGAGCCAATGGCTTATCCATTGTGGCTTCTTGCAGTTTGTAAAGCCATACTGTGCCATCCTCAGATCCCAGTATCATGGATTCATTCTAGCACTTCATTAGAAAAGTTCGATTTTTGTAGCAGTGGGCCACTTCGGTTCCTCCTTGGGGGTTCAGTATGGTGGGAGATTCGGACGTACAGTTGCTGCGATTGCCAGATGGCTCTCCATCCCTTCATCGATCGTCTTCGGTTCGCCATGCTCGCCAGTTGAGAACACTCGAATTCCAGAGTTAGACCCGGCAGTAATTAATTGCTTGCCATTGGGAGTATAAGTTAGCACTGTGGTGCCGGGGGTGTCTAGCATTCACATCTATTAGTATTTATAATAAAAGACGAGATTCTGTAAGAAAAACATACGAGCCGGTCTACCCCTCAAGATACTGCTATCTGGGGCCATGTTGAGGTATTAGCCGAATGCAATATAATTGGTATATTGCGGGAAGTAGCCACAGGCTATGGAGATCGAGATCTGATTCAAATCTGTGATGCGCTCTTTGGCAGGTTCAATATCGAAATGGAAGCGCGTCGCGGCCGTGATTATTAGTCATCATGGGCTTTAAAGTTAAGGTATGGAGATAAGATAAGATAGCCGGAGTTAGCGCTAAAGAAAATTATGAGTTTTAATATTACGCATATCTGGGCTTTAGATAATAATGTACAAGACCAAAGCGCTAGGATTTCATCTTTAGCATAACCTGTATGTCTTTTGGTTCGTCGATCAAGCTTCCGCTCCTCCGGTTAGGAACTTGCCAGTCCTCTCCCTCGGCAGGCTTGATATCCCATGTTACTAATATGGCAGCCAAGGTTCCAATAACTTTTCTCTGCTCTAACTTCCAACAAACGGAAGCTGGGTCATCCCAACCTTCTGAGCAATCTCGCTCATCCTCGTTCACAACATCTTGTGGGTCTTTCTTGTCTTCCAAGTCATCGGCCTCAGTAGACTTGATAAGGTGTCGCCGTGGATCAAAGCTGTCGGGAGAGTTGTTGTAAAGAGGGTTTCGATTTCGCAAAGAGTGAGGTATCACAACATAATCACCCTCAGATAGATGATAAGTCTGGACATCTCGAGAATTGAGAGACGCGTCCTCATCTGACTCGGTGAGGTTGATATTGGAGGTAACCTTTCGGTAAGTATAAGGGGTTGAGTAGAGCCGACTGGTCTCCCTTTGTGTAGCCATCAGCAATGGGCAGGACCCAATGAGATTATCTATATCCAATGACACCTGTGGTGGTTCTGGTAGACCAAATGTGGCTGAATTTGAGCGTTTAAGCTTTGCATAAGGGCCAATTTCACCCAACACTTCGGCATGTAACTTAGGGTCAGCTAGTATGTGAACAAGATTCCAGAATATTAAGGCGTTCGCCCGCACAGTAACTGCCCATAATAAAGATAAATCTTCAGCGGCCGCATATTCGACTGAGTATCCGTTCTTGATTCGTTCCCGCATTCGAGCCTGAACTGCGGCAGAAACATCATCCAGATCTCGCCAAACAGCCTCGGGCTCTTGTCCATTTTCTATCTGACTAAATATGGCATTTTGAACCGTCAGGCATATTAGCAGGCGACGGCGAGCGAGATATGCATTGACAAGACCGGGAAATGGAATCCACCTCTGAATTCCAAGCAGCATAGCATTGAATTTGCTATTGAAGGTGGAGATGTCGGGCAAAACATTGGGATAGACATCAAGGAGAGTCTTCCCCATTAAAATATTGACTGAGAGGTTTCCCACGAAGCCACTAATCAAAGAGTACAGTTTGGTTATGCATACTCTTTCTCCGCTTGCTTCATTTTGGAGAGCAACGCCACTTATTCGTTCCCATGGATATTGATCTACAACACTCGAGGTGAATGAGACCAAGGATGGAGTGGTTCGTTCAATTTCCTTGACCAGCACGGATGAGATATCGGTGATGTAGGGTTCTTCTACCAAAAGCCTTATCCACTTCGATGATTCACCATGGTAAGTGCCTTCTCGGCCAGGTTTGCGCGCACGACTGTTTGAGCCAAAATTGTTATCCAGTAGGTAGTTGATGCATGGTTCTGCTGAAGTGGATTGGCGTTGCTTAAACAAGCTTCTAACCATCGAGGGAGTTGTAAGAACAACGTGCCTCCTCCCCCAACAATAAAAGCTGAATGCAGCTCCGCGCTCTGGCAGCCTAGATAACAAAGTTAATACCTCCGTCGAAAAGGGGCTCGAACGAAGGTCGAACATAAACTGACCGGGCATTGAATAGCAATCTCCTTCGAAAGAAACCTAACGAGAGCCAATGGCCAACGTAAGGCAGCCAGTAGGGAACCTTTCTTGGGGATATTGATCCATCTGGGTATTTTGTTCTAATGCCAGGTAGACTAGTGACTTGTGTCAGGAGTCGGGTGACGAGACATATCAGAACAAACACTACAACCACCGCCCACCCGCTCAAGTGGGCAAAAAGTTGCCACAAGGCATCTACAGCGAGCTGAGGGATCGACGGGGTGTCGTTATCCATTTATTCTTCTTCTTCCTCTCCTCCACCGAGTTTGACCGGAGCCTAGTCCAACAAACTGCCCAAGGAAGCCGTTGAAGTCTTCGGTCTGGATAAGCATATCACATGACGTTGATCTTGCTGATGTAATCTCTCCACGTGCCTGGGGAAACCCTAATCAATCCCGCGGAGTGCTTTTTTTAGCTTCAACTAACTGTTTTAGGAAGGAAGAGAGATAGAAAAAAAAAGAGGGCCAAATATAACGCAAGCGACGCCTCGACAAGAAGCGCCCCCTGAACCTGCACCTCTTGATATCCGCCGACATGCCGACCATCAGCCACCAGGGGCACCAAAGAAAAAGAAAAGAAAGGAGAGAAGCGTTGTCGGAGATTCGCAGGTGATATCCAACAGTTTGCATGCAGCAGTCCTGCTGCAAAATGGGCACACGCTAGCGAATCATGGTGCTGACACTCCACCGCGATGTCTCACCCCTCGTGATTAGAGCCTCATTTTCGCTTACTTGCCAACGTTCAGACATGGAAGACGGGCGAAATGAACTATTGGAGGGTCTGGGGGCCGTCGGCTATGCCCGTGGTTGGCCATTGCAAACTGTTCCTGGGGCCAGTTGAGTCAGGGAATGGAGTCGCCGTCGGAGGATGCGCCCGCAAAAGCCATTTTAGCTGCACTTGGCCGCACTTAGACAGGCTGTCATACAGTCTGCGAGGGGACAAAGTGGCTGTTTTACCCATATTTTGATGGGGCACGGAGTACAGAGTAAAATAGCAGAAAATTTATGCTCAAGGGCCCTTGCAGGATGGGCTTCCTGCTGGTCAAAGAATCAGAGTTAAGGCGCGTACCCACCGCTGAGAAGGGGGTACTTTATCAGCGCCGCATCCCTCAGCTTTTTTCTGAGCTCTACTCGTTCATATACCATTATCTCCCACGAACGGTGGCTCCTTTATTTTCTGGACCTTCTTGGGTAGAAGTGCCGTCGCGATGCCGGCCTCTCGTTTTTTGGGTCTTTGTGCCCTCCTCCAAGCGTTCAGGGCCACTCAGGCTTTCGCCCCTGATTGGACTATCACGAAATATTTCGAAGATTCTGTAACGACTTTGCCTGGGAATACAGGCCGCTACGGAACTTATCCGGCTACTGAATATACCAGTACAGTAACTGTTGTGCCAACTGTCACTTCTCCTATTGCCACCGCCACAATTATCGCAACCACCTACCCAGAAGCTATCACCTACATACTCATAGGTCTTGAACCAGGCCAGGGAACGTCGTCGAGTTATGACTACTCCGAAAGCACCAACACCTACTACGTCCCTCTCACGTATACCTACCCAAGATACTGCTCTGTGACCTCTGGCGAAAGCACCATCACGACATCAGCGCGAATTTCCATCCCAACCGAGATCCAGAGTCATCTCACCCCAACCGTGACATCTGTAACGACCTCTGTTGTGGATTATCTGGAATCAGTGTCTTATTATACCTCTGCAGCCTCATTTATAGATCCAACAGAGCTTCCATCTGGGGTTTACAGTAGTATAGAAGCAAGCCATACCCCGAGTGAAATTCAGTACTGCCCATATGGATCTCACTCAAGTTCTGGCGGCTACGGTTCACAATCTAGCTCCAGTTCCAGCTCCAGCGATAACTATGATGGTTATTGTGGCCGGTATTATGGGTGCTATCACTCTTATTGGTCTCCATATCTTGCACTATCCCTTATTATCACCTTTTCTTGGTTCGGCCTTTTTTTCATTGTTGGCCTGATCGAGAGTGCTGTTAGATTCAGAAAGCTTATGCGAGGCCGCGGGGCAAGTAGAGGCCTACCCAAGTCCTTTGCTTGTTTGTGCCCAATATTATCGTGTTTGTTCATTATATGCATGCACCGAGGCTATAGACCGAAACCGAGGGAAGAACAAGAGGAGTTGGAAAGAAATTGGAAATCTATGTCCTTCGCCGCTAAATTCACCCTCTGGTTGAAATATGGATTCAGCAGAAGCTACCCTCCAATGCTTGGAGCAGCACCTCCCCTCGCCACCGATCCGCTGCCAGCCAGCCAGCCTCAGATGGCACAGCAACCTGTGGTCCCTGGAGTCATGCCGCCACTACCTCAACAAACTGGCCCGCAACCTCTGCCTCACCAGACAGATCAACAGACTGAACGACAAGCGGATAACCAACAGCAAGAACAGCAGCCTGTCCTTCGGTCAGCAGAGCAGAACCCAGAATCCTCACAGAGAGAATACCAACCATTACCGGCAGTAGGCCAAAGTGGCAGCACAGGGTTGTTTGAACATCCAACTCATGCAGTTTCGCCAGTTAATGAACAAGGCTCTCCGCTACCGCTCCAATCTGATCTCACTCAGCCATATACTTCGCATAACCAGCATATACATGAAGAACAGCCACAAAATGCTATCACTCAACCTACCGACCTTCATTCTGGCGCACCTAAAAATGCTTAATCGAGTCTACTTCCAACCATACATCCAAACTAATGCCATATCTATCATGATGTTCTCATTCAACCTTGATATGACCATTTCATGCATCTATACGTGTTTAATATGATATTTCAAATTAAAAAAAAAAAAAAAAAAAATGGCATTCTACATTATTATAGTCTTTTTTTTAGGGGTGGTCTTGGTCAAATTATTGGTTTACTATTTCATGTACGATGAATAACCCACCATACTTCTATCTCCCAAGATCTCAATTGTATTCATTGGGCTTTACTATTCAGAAACACTGCAAATATTCACCCTTCTATTCCCTGTAATAGCACATTCAAAACTAGATAAAATATTATGTGCAATTGGTAAAACTCAGTCTCTTGGCTTAAAACTCGGTTTTCAGAACAAGCTTTAACTGTGCGCTCTCGATCTCATATTGATCAATTTTTGCCTGGTTTAGAGCCAAGTTAGCTAGCAACCATTTAATCCTTCTCCTCGCTTCGCTAGGCTCTTTTGGGAAAGATCCTAGAACTTTTAGCTCTTCCTCAATCTTATGAATTGCCTGGTTCTGTATTGTGATCATTTGGCCGAGGATTCTTAGATCGAGCCTGCTACTAAGAACCTTATCTTCAACTAACTGGCGGAAGGCAGCCGCTAGCACTGGTTTCCCAGGCTTGATAATTGAAGGACGTCCGTTCTTTGAAATGACAGAGATCAGTTCTGCTTTCTCAAGCGCACGAAGGGTAGCTTCGCCATCCTTTTTGAACAGGTCCGACAAAATTATATCGCTGTATCGAATGCTAGTTTCCCCATTTGCATCTGAGTCGCTCTGGTTTCCTGCTTGGGTCTTGGCTGTTCCTAAGTTTTTGATTAAGTACCATGCTTGTTCCGGGGTCCAGCCACGGGAACTTGGGTCAACTTCTGTGATAAATATCTTAAGTATTTCTGCGGCAGACTGATGTACTATCTGTTGAACGGCATCTGCAGAGCACTTAGCATTATAATTCCCTGGTAATGGGGGGGTAGCTTACTATTTGGGGTCAGGCCTCTAGCAATCATGCGAGCGAAAAATTCAAGGTCTGTTAAACGGCCTCCGAGCCGTTTGATACATTCGGTGAGTTCCTGGTTGAATTTTTCATCGGAATAGTCCAAGCCTTTAGAATCCTCATTACCGGACACATGGCTTAACACGAACCGTTTAGCCACTTCAGGTTTGCAATCAGTGAATGACACCTGATGGAAAACCTGATTCGGTAAGGCCTGACTTAATGTCTTAGAATAGGAAAGGTCTGACGTGAGGAAGACAACGTGTGCAATATTGGTATATATCAATGCAGCTGCCCATTCTGCAAGTTTGTCGTATACCATCTGGTTGTCTTTGCTTTTATGTAGGAAGTTATCAACGATAACAACTGGTCGACGAGCAGGGTTTGCCTCTAACCATTCATCATCACTCAAGTGTCCATCTTTATCCCCCTTTTTCCTTCCGTCCAATGCAACTTTTTTCAGTGCCTTAGCAGTGTTTTGCAATATGTTACCGAGCTGTGTATCCAGAGTCTCGGACAATCCGGCCTTTGTACCAATGGCGCTTTGAGTTGCAACGTCAATCACACTGCTAATGCTATTCATCCAGGAGAATACTGGTCTGTACCCAACCTCAGCAGCGGCAGCGGCTATCATGGTACTGTCTCCTGGAGCTTCTTGGATAGGTTTGCAGTCGATGACCAGTTTATTCTTGTAATTTTTAAGCGCCTCATCCAAAACAAATTCTTTCTTTCCTAAGCCTCGGGGCCCATGTACAACAATAAAGGTATCGTTTCCTTCCACAAGCCAATTCTGAATTTGCTGGGCGTCTTCTTTCCTCTCTTCCCAGATTTCGTTAAGGCCTTTCGACTCATATTGGCCCCGGTGAAGAGAAAATAGAGAGTTTGCTTTAGTTGCCTGCCTCTGAAGCCACATTCACAGCCTATTATCCTGGAACTGCAGTGGAGGAGATATTTTCAGTCTAATGAAGAACGTCCTTATGGGATCAAAAATGGCAACAGTGATCCCAGCTAAGATGGCGACAAGGATGGGAAGCACAATTCGCGGATGGCTAAATAACCAGTCTCTTATCCAATGTGCCTTGATCTTCCGCTCGTAGTTAAACTGCAGGATAGTTCCAGCCTTGCCTCCAATATCGCCTGAAGGAACCTTGAACCCGTGAAGGCAGTTTTTCGCCATCACGGCGCTTACTGGATTAGAAAAGTCAAGCAAAGCATATCTTGGTACCACTTTTGAGTCTGCGGGCTGGGGAATAATATCGGTCAATTTGCCGTATGTCCTGGCAAGCGAGTAGAGGTTTTCCTGGGTAAGTTCTGCAGCCGGAGCATCCGGCGATACAGGTAGGAATTCAACCTTGACTCTTGAGCTTGGAAACCGGTATGACAGGTCCTCCACCCAAGGACGCCCACGTACAAGGGCAGCGCTAGCAGGGCTGAAGAGGCTAAACCACGGCTTTACAGGATTCTCATATAAATGCTGGGTAATGGCCTTGATAATGTCTGAACCTGATGTTTCAGGACCGTGAGATAGTTTGACAAAGGCACCGCCTTCTGTGAGGCGTGGAATGACCTGAGTGATATTTGGATGGAGTTCATCAGGAATAACTTGTTCGACAACAGTAGGGGAGCCTGTGAGCTCAGCACCTCTAACTCCAAGTTTTTCCAGCCGTTGCAAGACCATAGCATTCAAGTTTACATATGGAATGCGCGATAACCAGCCCAAATGGACAGGAAGAACACCTATAGTATAGTATTAGCTGGTACCGCTATACTCTCGAGTGATAGCGGAGATGTCACACTTACTACTTATGAAAATAAGAGCTTCATTCTGCGACTTTTCTATATATCCAGCTCTATGCGGCTCTGCAGCCGAGGCCTGGCATATGCTTCGATGGTTCTGACATCGTCTTCTAGCTATGCTCAAGACCTGCCCCCTCCAGGGTATCTGCCCAGGAGGTAGACCACGTATTACTGGGATCATCCTGTGAGCGAGTGGGAGCACTATCAGAGCTCTGCAGGCCCAGTACAAATGTGACTTAAGCGCCAAAAGCAGGATCGGCCATTTCTCGAACTACCTGGTGGTCTTTCATGCGTATCAGTATCATGACGGTTGTTGGTCCAAGTTGGCAGACGTTCTGGGTTGATGCTGCGTGGGAATAAGGTTTGTCACGTGCCTAAGCCTATTCGAACTTCTTCCACTTTATTTTTTGCTGATTGATAGTCGGGTTTGTGGAAGCAGATGAGCAGTTTGGCTTTTTATATTTAATAACGAGCGGACGCAGGTACGAACGCAGAAGACAACAATGGGTTGGCTGTGGAATAGTAGTAGCCCGGCTACTGCTGAGCAGGCACAGAAAACGGAATCTTCACCTCCAGCAAATGATTCGCATTCTTTACCATCCAATCCTGCCACGGAACAGTCCACGCCTCAGGTGAAGCCGCTTGGCCGTGACGAGATCGCAGAGGCCGAGTTCAACGAGTTGTTGAAGTCACTAGATAACTCTACATCATCCGCCGAACAGCATGCGCCATCCACGTCTAAATCTAGGACCTCTAAGCCGCTGCCCTCACAATCAATTCACTTCGAATCTCCGTCTACCCAATTTCAGTCCGATTCACTCTACCCTAAAACCATGTCTTGCCGTACCGCTTTCGATTACGCATACTTCTGTCAGTCGTTTGGAGGCCAATGGGTGAACGTCTATCGATATGGTGAACTACGGTCGTGCAGCGAGCATTGGTCTGACTTTTGGTTCTGTATGCGCTCAAAGTCGCTTCCTGATGAGGAAAGGGAAAAGGCTATCTCTGATAGATACAGGCGGAAAGCTATCAAGTATAAGACTGGCCCTAGTAGTGAAGATATCTGGGAACTAAGAAAGGAGCCAGTTGTGGGGGCATTCCAAGGCGATTATCTCGCTTTTGAGAGGGAGATGGAGCGACTAAAACAGCGGGAAAATGATGCAAAGGCTAATGGGGCCAATACTATGGAAGCATGAGAATATGTTGCATCACGGCGTTGGATCATACTGTATACCATACTACGGGGATTGACTTGACAAACGGTTTGGCTTGCCTTTAGAAGTTAGATTTTATATGTATTATTAGAGTGTTGAATACCCCTTTTCTTTCTCTGCTCTGTGGCGTTATGGACTAAAAGGATTTTAGGACAAGTTTTGGATGCATATAGGCATGAGACTGGCTGGATGGCCTTTTAATTAATAATGGAATTGAAGTCATTGATTCTTGTCATGCTGCCTTTCGTGAGCTGAGAGAGATGTCATTGGGAAGAAGCAAGGTGGGACGGGCTAACTAGTTAACTAGTTTTAATAACTGTGTTCGAAAAATCCTTCTCTAATAAAAAGTTTTCTCACTCGAGAATGAATAACACAATGATCATACACATATTAGAAGAAGAACGAATGCTTAATGCAACCTGAAACTAGGAGAATGAATAAAATACATATGGATCAGGCGTTGTCGACATTTCCGATGCAGTTTTCCCCGTGCTGACAAACTCGGTTTCCTCCAGACAAGTTGACGAAATAACTAATAATCGCAAAAGAAAGACAAAATGGCTACCAAATAACTACACGATGACTGCTATTCAGAGGCTTGCGGGGCTTGCGGTTTATGCAGCGGCTATTCGGATCTCCTTGGGGACAGCCTCGATTGCTGGACGGCGAACAATTCCGCCAGCGGCTGGAAGATAGGATGTACTTCCCATAAGATATGAATCGATCTCTCGAGCAGCCTGTCGGCCTTCATTGATGCCCCTGGAGTGGACAAAGGTGTTAGTGCAGGTTAGATATTAGCCTTGAACATGGTTTACATACCAGACAATTAGCGACTGTCCACGCCTGCAGTCGCCAGCAGCAAATACGCCGGGGATGTTGGTTGAGTAGTGGCCAGCGGGGGTCTTGATATTCTTTCGTGCATCTCTCTCGACCTCATCGCCCAGGAGTCGATCTTCGGGGCCCAGGAAACCCATTGAAAGGAGGACAAGGTCAGCCGGGAAGAATTGCTCACTGCCCTCGATAGTCTTCATATCCCAGCCACCTGAAGGGCTCTTCGTCCACTCAACTCGGACAATGTTGATACCCTTGACATGACCGTTCTCATCTCCAACGAACTCCTTCGACATGACACAGAATTCTCGCGGGTCTTTGCCCATGTGAGTCTTGACTTCGCTGTGACCATAATCTATACGGTAGATTCGGGGCCACTGTGGCCATGGGTTATCGCGAGCACGGTCCTGAGGAGGCTGAGGAAGGAGCTCGAAGTTTGTGACAGATTTTGCTCCGTGTCGGACGGACGTTCCGATACAATCGTTGCCAGTATCACCACCACCAATGACAATAACATCTTTGCCTTTTGCTGAGATGTACTCACCATCACTTAGTTCTGAGTCAAGAAGGGATTTAGTGTTACGGTGCAGGAACTCCATGGCAAAATGAATTCCCGCGAGATCACGGTTTGGGATCTTTAGATCTCGCGCGACGGTAGCACCGGTAGCGATGACTACCGCGTTGTTTGACTTCTGTAGAGACTGGAGAGATACCTCCTGGTCTGGACCAACGGCCGTGCCAGTAACGAACTTGATACCTTCTGCAGCCATGAAATCAACGCGTCTTTGCACAACCTTCTTGTCCAGCTTCATATTTGGAATGCCATACATCAGTAAACCGCCAATGCGGTCTGCTCGCTCATATACTGTCACACTGTGTCCGGCACGATTGAGTTGATCAGCCGCAGCCAAGCCAGCTGGGCCTGAGCCGATGATTGCAACAGATTTTCCTGTACGGGTTGGAGGTTGTTTTGGAACCATCCAGCCCATCTCAAAACCTCGGTCAATAATTGCACATTCGATTGATTTGATACCAACTGGATCATCAACAATTCCAAGGACACAGGCGCCTTCACATGGAGCAGGGCAAACACGCCCGGTGAACTCGGGGAAATTATTTGTCATGAGCAACCGGTTGAGTGCATCTTGCCATTGGTTCTGGAACACAAGCTCATTCCACTTTGGAATGACATTGGAAATAGGGCAACCGGTGTCGGATTGACAGAATGGGACGCCACAGTCCATACATCTAGCGGATTGATATTTCAGCTCATCCTCTGTAAGTCTGGGTGACAGTTCCTGCCAGTCTCGAGTACGTGTTTTCGAGCTTCTGTACTTTTCATGACGCCGAGCATACTTCATGAAGCCTTTGGTCTTGTCTAAGATCAAAGCCGTACGCTTTTTCTCTGTTTTAGCATCGCCGATACTATCTTCAATATCCAGAACGTCGGCACTAGGTTGATGATCCCCTTGGTGTTTGTGTTCTGCCTTCTCGTGAGGTTTCACCACGGCGTTTTGACTAGAACTCGGATGCGCAGTCTCCAGCTTCTTAGCAGCCTCGATTTTAGCCGCTTCCTCCTCAAGCACTCGTTTATAGTCAGTTGGCAGCACCTTCACAATGTGCGATAAGGCCTTGTTGAAATCAATCAAGATTCTTGCGGCAATTTCAGAGCCAGTGTAATGATGATGGTCCTCAATGAGACCACGCAGGAATGCGATTTCAGCCGGATTATCAACACCAGAAAGCTCAACCATCTCCATGTTGACCTTTTGCTCGAAATCCCCAGCTGTATCCAGGACATATGCAATACCACCGGACATACCAGCAGCAAAATTTCTTCCCGTGGATCCAAGGATCAATACACGACCACCTGTCATGTACTCGCAACCATGGTCACCCACTCCTTCAACAACAGCAGTGGCACCAGAGTTACGGACAGCAAACCTCTCAGCAGCAACGCCACGGAAGTAGCAGCTTCCACTGGTGGCACCGTACAAGCAGACATTCCCGATGATGATATTTTCCTCTGCTTTGAAAACAGCACCACGAGGAGGATAGATGATTAGGCGACCTCCAGATAAGCCCTTGCCCACATAGTCATTTGAGTCGCCTTCAAGCTCGAGGGTAACACCTGGGGCAAGGTAAGCTCCAAATGACTGTCCGGCGGATCCTCTGATATTGGCATGGATTGTGTCCTGTGGTAGTCCAGGCTCACCGTATCGTTTACTGATCTGATATGAGAGCGTGGCACCCATAGCACGATCGGTGTTGACAATGTCACATTCCACTCTACACGGAAGTCCCTTTTCTAAGGCTAATTCCGCTTCTGCAATAAGTTTATTGTCGAGACGAGTGTGGAGGCGATGATCCTGCTTCCTCACATTGTACGTGGCAACTCCAGGTCTGAGGGAGTGGGCAGGAGTAAGGATGAGGGAGAGGTCAATGTTGTGCATGCGAGGAGATGCTAGGTCATCTCTTATCTTGAGAAGTTCAGCTCTTCCGACCATCTCGTTGACACTGCGGAAACCAAGCTTGGCCATAATAGCACGGAGCTCATTGGCGACATAATAGAAAAAGTTGATGACATGCTCGGGAGTGCCTTGGAACTTCTCTCGGAGAACTGGGTCTTGGGTAGCTATTCCAACGGGACAAGTGTTCAGGTGGCACTTCCTCATCATAACACATCCCATTGCAATCAGTGGAGCAGTTGCAAATCCCCATTCCTCGGCTCCTAGTAAACATGCAATAGCAATATCTCTGCCAGTTCTAAGCTGCCCATCGGTCTGGACTATGACACGTCCACGTAAGTCGTTAAGAACCAAGGTTTGGTGAGTTTCAGCCAACCCAAGCTCCCATGGTAGACCGGCATATTTGATACCAGTCCATCGGGAAGCACCTGTACCTCCATCATGGCCGGCAATGAGGATATGGTCCGCCTTGGCCTTTGCAACACCAGATGCAACAATACCCACACCAACCTCTGAGACGAGCTTGACAGAAACACGAGCACGAGGATTGGAGCACTTGAGATCATATATGAGTTGTTTTAGGTCCTCAATGGAGTATATGTCATGATGGGGTGGAGGAGATATCAGACCAACTCCAGGTGTGGAGTGCCGGGTATGCGCAATGGGCCCTGTTACTTTATGGCCAGGCAATTCACCTCCTTCACCAGGTTTGGCTCCTTGAGCCATCTTGATCTGCAATTCATCTGCATCAGCTAGGTAGCTTGAAGTGACTCCAAATCGCCCAGAGGCAATCTGTTTGATAGCCGATCTCATTGTGTCCCCATTTTCTCCGACTTTGCTGCGACTGGCATCCTCACCACCTTCGCCAGTATTGGATTTACCACCTAGCCTATTCATAGCAATAGCAAGGGTAGAGTGGGATTCGAAGGATATTGAGCCATAAGACATGGCGCCAGTAACAAAACGGCGGACGATATCAGTCCATGGCTCGACTTGATCAATCGGAACGGGAGTTCGTTGCTCAAAGTCAAATTCCAGCATCCCGCGCAGCGTGCAGTTCTTAATCTGCTCAAATTCTGCCTTAGCATATGCTTCGCAAGATTTGTCATTCTTATTGCGGACGGCATCTTGCATGTTGGCAATGCTGACTGGATCGTTGATGTGTGGCTCTCCTCCATCTCGCCAGTGATATTCTCCTGACTCGGTAAGGCCGGGTATTTCAGTGATTTGTCGCGAAGGATATCCCTTTTCGTGGAAAGCAAAGGCGTCCTGAGCGATGGCCTCGAATGTCATTCCCCGAATTCTGCTTGCTGTTCCGACGAAGCATCTGTCAATGACGCTGTCATCAATACCAAGGGCTTCGAAAATCTGAGCTCCTTTATAACTCTGCAAGGTGGAGATACCCATCTTGCTCATGACCTTCAAAATACCACCATCAACTGAATGTTTGTAGTTATTGACAATTTGGTCATCTGTGAGTTTCTTCCGGATGAGGCCTTCGCGGTTCATCTTGAGCATGCACTCAATAGCAAGGTATGGGCATACACCATCGGCACCATAGCCAACGAGAACGCACATGTGATGGACTTCACGAGCTTCGCCAGTCTCAACTATGAGGGCCACCAATGAACGCCATTTATTGCGAACAAGGTGGTGGTGGACTAAACCGGTAGCCAGGAGAGCAGATACTGGAACCCGGTCAGCAGCGGTCGCTCTATCAGACAGAATTAATACCCGATCACCGTTCTCGATGCCTGCACTAGCTGCTTCACATATGTTCTCGAGGGCATCAAGATAACCCTGGACCCCCTTTGACTTGTCAAAGGTGATATCAATGATCTTCACGGGCCAGTCCTTGTGCAGGAAGGTGATATTTTTGATGGTATCGAATTCAGTGAGAGAGAGGATAGGGGATGGAAGATGAAGACGATGGCACTGTGTCTCGTTGATTTCGAGCAGGTTTCCCTGAGGGCCGACGTAGCACTCCAGGGACATAACGATGGCCTCACGGATAGGGTCAATAGGTGGATTGGTGACTTGAGCAAACAGTTGACGGAAGTACTCATACATGAGCCGTGGTTGCTGTGCAATGCAGGCAAGAGGAGCATCGTTGCCCATCGAACCAAGAGCTTCCTTGGAATCGGCAGCCATTGGGCCCAAGAGCAAACTCACTTGCTCGAAAGTATACCCAAACGCCTTTAGACGCGGGTCTTGCTGGACAGTTAACTCATCTAGCTTTGGTGTGACTTTGATAACCTTGTCATCGATGTATTTCTGGTGAATCTTCGGCAGGCTAAGAAGCTGTGACTCGATCCATTTGGCGAAGGGTTGGCGGTTGGCAACAGTTTGCTTTAGCTCTGTATCATCGATGATTCTTCCTGCCACGGTATCGACAAGGAGCATCTTGCCAGGCTGCAGACGACCCTTTTCTATAACACGCTCCTGATCGATGACAAGAGCACCAACTTCAGAGGCGCAGATTATTCTGTCGTCATCTGTGATATAGTACCTGCATGGTCTAAGACCGTTACGATCCAAATTGGCACCACAGTATCGACCGTCAGAGAATGTGAAGAGAGCTGGGCCATCCCAAGGTTCCATCTGGCATGCTGCCCATTCGTAAAAGGCAGCCTTCTCCGCGTCCATAGAAGGATTATCCTGCCAGGCTTCAGGAACCATCAGCATGACTGCTTCAGGAAGAGACAGGACGCCGTTGATTGTCAACAGCTCTAGTACGTTATCAAAAGCTGCGGAGTCGGAGCCACCCTCCTCCACAATGGGATAGAGCAAGTCGAGCTCCTCTCCAAAGATCTCTGATTTGAGTACCCCTTCTCTCGCTCTCATCCAGTTTTTATTCCCACGGAGGGTGTTTATTTCACCATTGTGGGCTGCCCATCGGAGAGGCTGTGCACGGTCCCATGAAGGGAAAGTATTTGTTGAGAAACGAGAATGAACCAGGGCAAAGTGGCCTTCATAGTCCACTGAAACGAGGTCGTGATAGTACTCATAAACTTGAACTGGAGCCAATTGGCCCTTATAAACGATATTCTTATTACTCAGGGAGCAAAGATAAAACCAGCTGGCAAGGCCAAGGACATGAGTTGCCCGTTTTCTCAGCACATACAGCTGCCTCTCAAAGAGCCTCTCATCAAAGCGTTCAGAGTGGGTTTCAAGAGGAACATTGCCATCCCCATATGCAGAGTGGAGGACAACGATAGGCTGATAAATGAATGGCTCACGGGACAGGGCAGCTGGCCCTAGGATCGTTGAATCGTGGGGCACTTCTCTCCACCCCAGCACTCGCAGGTTCAATTCCCTGGCGAGGTCCTCAAAGGTGGACTGTGAGTCCCTAAGGGCGACAGGATCAGGCTTAAAAAAGAGATTTCCCACAGCATATTGTCCCAATGGTGGTAGAACAACATCAATATCCCTCGCAAAGTGCTTTGTGAAGAATTTGTGCGGGATACTCGTCATGACACCGGCACCATCGCCGTCTCGAGCGTCGGAGCCGACTGCTCCTCGATGGGTCATGTTGCATAGTAAACCTCGTGCTATGGAGGATTCCAGTCAGTGTTACAGCCCAAACAAACCTGTGATATTGACTACAAGGCAGAACATACCATCACTGACTATCTTATGGCTTGCCTTTCCCTTGATGTGGCTATAAAACGCGGTTCAGTGAGCCATTGTTCTTCCGCGTTCAGGCCTGGCAAACTTACGCAGTGAAGCCTACACCACAGGCATCTTTCTCCAGCTCTGGGTCATATAGACCCTGCTTCTTGGGCAGTGTCTCCGCCCAGCCATAGCCGCCCTCAGCCTTGTATGGAGAGTATTCGTTGGGAGTATTGTCTTGCGCTGCTGTGTCCCTGGTTTTCTCCAAGAGGCCCATTCTTCCTGCCTGCGTGGTCGGCAGAGAGAGAACGCGAACGCCTGACCTTGTGATAATAACAATTTGAACTGACAGTGGCTAGATATGACGTTTTTGATTGATACAACGTTTTTGATCAAATTGAGGATTAAAGAAAGGAAAGATGAGGATAGAAGATGGGTGTGAAGACGGTGTGATGATAGAAGGATGTGAAGTGAAAGAGGGGAAGATGAGAGTGAAAGAAGTTAATGAATAATAACAAGCACACCAGCACAGGGCATCCTCGGAAGTTGGCCATCGTTGTTCTATGGTTGGGCCGGCTGGTTCCATAGCTCGCCTCGAGCGTCAAACCGAGCGTGGGGGAGAAAAGACCTGCAAACCAAACTCTACGGCATCTACGCACCTTCGTGGCCAGGCAGCGGCCGCTTGGGAGGGTGACATCCTCGGGATGTCTGCTACAGCGAGTCCATCCATCCAGCTTGCGCCTTGACGAGCCAGCGCTGGAGGTCCCTCACCCTTCACAGGCCTTTTCTTCCAGCAAAAAACAGTGACGGTGACGGAGCGATGGACGATAACAGCGGGTCTCGGTGCTAATCGGAGCCTTCTCATTGGTCAATGTCGCTTATCTGCAGACTTAACCTTAAAAAAAGCATCGACCAAGCTGGAACTTGATGCTTTTTTTTTTTTTTTCGAGATGCAAAAAGCCGAAGAAGACGAAGAAGAAGAGGAAAAAGAAGAAGAAGAAGAAGAAGAAGAGGCAAAGGGACAGCAGGGAGACAAGACAAGAAAGATGACTACCTGCTATGCGCATGTCCAGTCTCGGGCGGGAGAGGAAGAGGCAGCTGCTCTCCCCCAGACGCTTCTCTGTTCCTCGAGAGAACCTGCTTTACTTACTTACCTTACGGTTCATCCGTTATCTCAACCTGGTAGTTTACGAGTTAAAAAGCATGTGCTTTTCCACTTTATCTGCCCCCCGCCCCCCACCATTACTCCGTAGTCTTGTTTACTCTGCGTTGGCTGAACCACAAAGGAGGGATGTTAATTGGCCAGCTTATTTTCCTTGAAGGCCCGACATCGGCAGCTTGAGAGCCGCACTTTATTTTTATTTGTTGTTTCTGCTGCCGGTGGCCTTGACTCTTTTGGCCCTTTCGAGCTGCTCATGAATCTTTGAAAAAGGGGCATCGACAGAGTAGAACACCAAACACCAGCCGGACAGGGGTTTTACGTAACCCGATTCTGGCTCTTGGAGAAGATGTACATTGGGTACTACGGGCCGCTCGATACTGTTTATATGACGTGCGTGTTAAGTCAGTCTCCCTCCCGGCTGAAGCTGGGCATCGTATCAGACCGAGTGCCGGCTTCACGTTCGTATCTCCTTCGATAATGCCGAATCCTCGGCACAAAAGAAAAACAACAAACGCCCATCTTTTTCCCAGTCGTATTGGAAGCCCCGGAACAGCCCGCGCCCTCCCCCAAAATCCCCAAAAGCAACGACTGAAAGTGGGAATAGCAACTGGAGAGCTGGCCGAGAGGATCGGGTCCTTTCGGAAAGAAAAAGAGTCACGTGGGGCAGGTTGCATGTGGATTACTGTAGTTAGCAGTTCACGACCTCCCTTCACCTCCTACACCCCCTTATTATTGTGTAGCAAAAGGAGATATAGGGAGCAAAGCAGCTACCCCGTAACTAACTAGTTATGGAGTACGCCTTGGGGACTCTCTGCATATATGATGTCAGATATGCGAGGACAGGTGGCGACGGACTGATGCCGCTCAACGCCATTCATATTTCATACATTATATTTACACCATTCTGCAGGGAGGTGAACTCCGTGAATACGAAATTATTTGTCAATCGTACATAAAAGACAGCCGGATAGCAACGCTCAGCAAGGCTCCGGTGCGGATATAGGATCGGGGTCCTCGCGTGACGCATCTTCAACTTCATGGGTTGCTTTCGGTTTGTGGCCTGGGTGGCATCCTTCCACGAAGGGGGCTTCCACGCCTAGGCCCGGGGGTGGGAAGAGGTATGACAGAACAGTCATCCAGGTGAACCCCATCGCCAAACCAACAAAGAATGTGATATTGAACAATTTGATCCAGCCTTGCATGGCTGGAGATTTGTCTTCATTGACTGATGCGACAAGTCCAGCTGGGAAAAAAAAAGAAGAAGAAAAAGAAAAGCTGTTAATATACCATAACTAGTAACCAACAAAGCAATGATCTCTCAAGAGGGGCATCGACTTACGTATTTGAGACCATATACTGGCGGTAAAGGCGACAGCCCCACGCCAATTGAATCCATGCCAGTACCAATATATAGATGATGAGTCTCCTTTATACAGGTCGCAGAGCTTGAGTGCCTGGCGCCGGATGACGAGATAGTCTGATAGCATGATACCACTGGTAGGCCGTTAGGTCTCTGTTTGGATGTCAACTGAGGCTGGATCCGTATCTTACATCAAAGGGGCCATAAATATTCCAAATCCAGATAAAACTGACAGAAATTTATCTGCACTGGAAAGGAGTTGCCATGGCCTTGGTTTTGATTAGTTTGTCTTGTCTCTCTGTCGGCATCGTGCAAATCACTATACCACTCACTGAGATGCAAGGCCAATAACGACCATAATATAACTTCCTCTTCTAATGTTTATATATTTTGGTTGTAGACCGGCTAGATCCATTCCTGCCGAGACAGAGTTCAGTACAAGTGATATCTATAACCAAGGTCAGCAAGTTCTCAACCGTTGGAGCCGTTGAGGTTGGACCCTACCGCAAGCTGAGTCGAGACAGTGCCTATGGAGGCAAAGAATACACCAGCTCTGGAACGTGGGCTTGAACGATAGTGTTCCTGTATAGCAGCAAGAAGTTGGATGGGGCTCCAAATGATCTCTCCGAGAATGTCATTCACGGCACTAGTTACGATTATTCCAATCATAGCCGTAATCGTGATTGTTATGGGTGCAGCTATAAGCTGAGATAACGTTGGTGCCAGTGGCCGATTCGCATAACGGGTCCAGTCGGATTGACTTAGGGTGCTAGCACCCCATGCACCAAGGATCGCAGTTATCCCAAACATGACACCCCATCCTACAGAGCCTGTTGTTGCTGGCTGATGAAACATTGATCCAGGGCCTCCAGCATTCCTCACTGCCCTGTCATATGTTAGCAACGGGGACAGGCTTAGAAAAGAACGAAATCAACCAGCACATACCAAACCAAAATCCCGATACATGTTGAACTGAACAGTACGAACGAAATGCCAAACGGGATTTGGAGTCTTTCGGGGGGAATAAGCAATAAAGGCAGGAATATAAGATACCACAAGACCATGCCAATAAAGTCATTGGTGAGCAGGTGTGAGCTTTCTGAGAATAAATTCTTCATATGCGCAAAACTGGGGATAACTGCTCCCACGAGCACTCTGGTTGCTTGACCTCCCCTATATTATCAATATTAGTCTTGGGGGGTTTTTCTAATACTTTTTGAAGTAGAACTTACCAGTATGACTGCATTCCAAACCAGAGGCAACCAAGAAAACATCGAAGAACAACAGGAACTATTGCCATCCATGAGTCCGAAATGCATACTCACAGGTAGGTATCGTATTAAACCTACAGTATGATCCTCTCATTCCCCACGAGAACCTTGAAGCAACCGGAAAGCCGATATGGTGTCGCTCACCCATCCAACCGCATGCAACAGCAAGTAGACCAGTGAATATTCCACCCGCAGCCTGTGTTATCACACTATATCAGCCCCGATCATTGATTTCGATAGAAATCAAACCGATACGAGATACACGTACAACGCATCCAATTGCCTGTTGGGGACTTAGCCCGAATGCCAAAAGAGTGCTTCCTATGGTCCATGCTGATATGCACGAACCGGATACCATCCAGTAACCTATCCAATCCATAAGTCCATCCCGTCCACTTTGTCGGCATCATACGAAAATAGCATACCAGTATAGCCCCAAATTCCCCAAGTTCGCCTATCCGGAGGGATTGGTATAAGGTCCCTATTGCACCACACTGTGTTCTCGTACAGCGGGTCTTTGTCTATCGGCCTTTCAGCTCAGATTCATTAGCAAACAAATCGTCAACTACACAGGCAGTCAGTTATGGGTTGCATTGCCAAAAGCCACTTACACCGCCAACTTCTGCTTAAAACTGGCCCAGTCGACCATCTTGCCGGCTTTACACAGCTTTATAGTTAACAAACGGTGGGTTACAAAGAAATGAAGCCTTAGACCCGTTGAAGCGGAGCTAATGTGGAGATTGATATAATTAAAGGAATCTGGGGTATTTCAGCCGGGGGATGTGGGAAGTGCCAGAGTATTGATCAAGCCATTTCACCGCACAACTCATGGCGGTGGTGATCTGCATGGATCAATTATCTCCATGGGCAACATACTTGGTGCAACCATCATGCGCCTTTACAGCTTGTCCTCCAAATTATCGATCTTAGACCTATATGTAGCGAGTAAGTATTAATGTTTAGTTAGATAACTACTTAACTGGTCGATCTCGGCTGGGGAGCCGTTATATCCAGGGCGAGCCACGTTATCTTCAGGGTAACTAAGTTAACTAAACGATCGTGAGAGCCAGAGACAAGGAAGATCGAAGCATCCATGTCCCTGGGAAACTGGCTAACGAAGCCGCTCACTAACTAACGAGCTAGTTAGCTAACTAGGGGGGGGAAGCAAAAGACGAAGTCCACATCGGAGTAACTCCTGAGTGTCCCGTCTGCTATATTTAACTCGGCTGTGGGCTTTGTTTGACCATAATAATAGTGTAGCCAGGATGACCTCTTTCTTTCAACAAGGAAACTCTTAACTAGCTAGAGCCCCATAATCAGCAAGCGAGACAGTCCTGGCTTTCTGTCAAGGAGACAGTTAGTGGCGATGAAGTCGCAGCAGTCGTCCTTTTGCCTCTTCGGCACGACCCATGCTGGGGCAAAGTTACCAGGCTGGCGGGATGAGGCTCGAAGGCGATGATGATATTGGGGTAGTTAGAGGGCGATTTTTAGCAGATGGCGTGTTGGAGCCTATGCAATAGTAACAAATAACTTGGTCATTATCATTCTTTAAACAGCATAAAACTAGGAAGCAGGTATGTAGTTATGGACACTATCTAGGAGATGGCATTCAGTCTCATGGCGATATAATCCCCCGAAGCAATCGGCTCATACTTCTTGGGTTGGTCCGGACCGTAGCAACCAGGCAGGCAGTCAATCACCTTGTTCTTGTCTGCAACAATGAAGTAGGGAATCGAGTACCTGGCCCGGCTCATTCGTTGACCACCCGAGTCTCCATCCTTCTCCTGCCCGTTCTCATCCACGTTCACCACTGGCGGAGCCCTCACCCGATGCATTGTCGACCGAAGCGTATCGTTACTCCATCTCATAAGGAAATCTGCAATGTTCACCACCATAGTGCCAGGGATGTATGGAACAGGATTGAACACCCCCGTTTGGTGGATATCTTCGACTTCCAGCCCGCCAACGTCGTCCTGGAAGAGTAGAGTCATCGTAGCAAAGTCGGTGTGAGCAGCTATACGCTCTTTTTCGCCCTGTCGAAGCATCTCCTCTTCCACGGGAGGGTAGTGAAGCAGTCTGGTCTGGTTGTCTTTCATCGTATGGTACGATTCGAAAAAGTCCCTGTCGAGCCCCATGCCTATCGCCACTGCGCGCAATATTTCCTGCCCAACATCATGGTTGATCTCGAAGAAGTTGTTGAAGAACGCACGGAACCCAGGGATGGTCGACTCTGGCAGCCAGATGTTGGGGGTGGTCTCGTCGTCCTCCCGTCCCATCTCGAAGGATTCCTTGACGTCGGGGATCTTGCGGAGCTCGCCGAGGGTGTCGCTGTCAAACACCATCTGGGTCACCTTCTCGCGGCCTATGCCGGAGTAGCCTCGATGCCACCATCCCTCTGGCGGGTGAGGCGCCTTTTCCTTCTCAGACTGTGGAAGGTCGAACAGTTTTTTGCTCTATAAC